TTTAGGATTGGAACTAGGGTGTTGTGTGATATATTGTATTAGGGTGTATCAAGGGTATTTTCGGTAGTTAAATAGGGTGTATTTAGTTAATTTTACATTTTAATTAAAATATTATGGTGTACTTAGATCATAGGGTGTACTCAGTTAATTTTAGGATTGTTTAACAACGCTCTTTTGTAAATGGCACTGTGAGAGTAAATATTTTCGTCTCCAATCATAGCACACCACGTGGAAAAGAAGAATATCCCTTAAATTAATTAATTGAACCAATTTATTTGGCCAATTAATTGATAGGGATAATATCTTAATTATAGGATATTAACTTTATTTAATAAGATAATGCCATTAATTTAGATATTATCCTAATAAGAAGATATAATCATCATCAAATTAGGAGATTTGGATCTCAATCAAATCCCTAATGGACTCAATCTCTACACTTTGGAGAAAGAATAAACTCCTTCCTAATAAGAGTTTTATTCTTTACGAAACTCTAGCCTCCAAGACTCTTATAAATAGATGGCTTCATTCATTATTTAAGGTACATCTAAATCTACTTGGAAAACCCGAGAGAACTCTCCATCTCTCTCTCCCTAGCCACCACCGCCGCTGGCCACACATTTCTCCTCTCTCTATATATTACATACACGGCTCTAGCCACCCAGTTCTCACCCTAAAGAAATCTCCGTATTCTTTTTTAGCTATTGTTTCACCTAAATTCAATCAAACTAACTTAGACATCAGAGGACCTTTGGCCAACACCCTCCAGGTGTGGTCTATTTACTTCTATCTTTTTTACAGGAATCGAGGAAGAGAGAGAAGAAAGATCAAATGTTGAAGAATCACAAAGCGAATATTCTCCTGCGAGATTATTTGCACAAACAAGCACTATGAAAATTGTGAAATGACGCCTATTTTGTTAGAAATTAAAAATAAATCTCCTTAATTAATTAGGAAGGCTCACGTCAACATTTGATGGCTACCATTTGAAAAGTTATACTACAAAACTTGGACGACAAAAATAAGACTTTTTGTAGTTTTGTCATTGTTAAAAAAAGATCGCAGGAGTTTCTATCTTACCAAATAGGAAACTGTAGAAGAGTTTGATTCAAATTTGACAATTTGATATACCATATACCATGGTGGGTCGAGCTAAATTATTGCCTCAGAGCCCTTATTCTTCTGAAGCCCAAGATCACTAAATTGGCCTTCATTTTCTCTAAATTTCGAAATTATTTAAGGCTCAACCAAAAGAAAATAAAAAGATTTGGCCCAAGGGTTACGCCATTGTCTTCTGGGTATTCCGAAGCCTTGATAGTTTTCTCACTTAGGGTTCGTCGGCCCGACTCGAAACTTTTGGGTTTGGGTCGGGCTTTTTGGGATTTTTTTTATTTTTTGGGCCAGTCCGAGGGTCTAAACAGGTTGGGCATTAAATCATTTTGTTACACTTTTTTTTTTGGGGGTCAAAAGTGATGGATAAAGAGTCTTCTCTTAAACATTAGTATAGATTACTACATAACTTAAGAAAATAAAAATATAATAGCCAAACTCTTTTACTAAACCTAGACCAATAGCCAATATATTTAAAACTATTATACCTAAAAATGAATCTTATGAAAATGTGTTACTTCTATCCCAAACTAGGATTAACATCATGAAAATTAAAGCAATTTGTGACATTAGAATTAATAAAATCAAAATAAGCTTTCAAATTCTTTATTGAACCATTAAATTTGCACTTGACAAAAAAAAAAGGGGCACTAAAGAATAATGTATATATTTTTGTTTGTTACAAAATTTTAGACAACATTGAAAAAATTAACTTAATTTATAACATGTGTAAACAAAATAAGAAGTTTATTAGTTTATCATACATATTACATTATTTTGATTAAGTATAAAATGAGGTTAGATAGTGCTTCAATTAAATTTTTTTTAAAATAAGGGCATAGGTGGGCAAGCTAAGGGTTTCAAATTCTAACCCCAAGTCCTACCCAACCTTAAAATGGGATGGACTAAAAACAAAAAAAAAAATGGGATGGACTGAGCTGGCCTAACCATCAGGACGGGCCGTACTTTGGCCCATCGGACCTCGATTTACCTACTTTGGCTTGCGGCCCGGTGACCAAATGATGATCCCTATTCTCACCAATGGGGGAAATTCTATAGTAAGGCCAAAGATGATCCCTAATCTCTCTCTCTCCGGGGTCTGTAGTCATTCTCGCAAGAAGATGTGTTTGGAAAGTTTGAAGCAGCTTTGACATACGGGTTTATTTTCACTTTTCATTTAGGCCCAATATTCATTTATTTACTTATTTATTTTGATGACATATTGATTATACTACGAAAGAAAGTACAGTTTGAGGATTAATTATATGCTTGAGTGACAAGCAGTATTTTTTCTAATTATAATAATTTAGTATCTGAAATTTGATAGTTAGGTTTTTTTATTTTTTGTTTTGGAAAACGAGTTCGTGGTTATTTGACATTTTTCAATTGTATATATTAGGGGATTTCCAGAATTAGTGGCAAGGCAATTCCTAACATAATCTGGCCTCAAGCTTATTGAGTTGCTGGAAAATTATCATTTCCAGTAAGAAGCATGAGAGACTTAAACCTCCAACCACTTTCCAGCAGCACAATACCTGAAAGATTGAGTGTCAAATTTTCATAAATCCATTAATTGGCGGCCTAGTAGCTAGCCTCTTTAGAGCATCCACAATGGGAGAGTGTATATGGGGCTATATGTTAAATATACACTCTTTGTTACCGGAATCGTCTCCAATGGGGAGATGTAAATGGATGTAAATAGACATCACCACCATGGAGATGTAAAATAAAATGTACATTTACATCTATTTTTACATCTTTTGCAGGAGGGACCCACCCGAGAAAAGAGAGGGAAAATTATACATCTTAGATTTACATCATTTCTCATTGGAGCAAAAAACGTATTTACACCTCCCAGAAGTGTAAAAGGAATGTAAAAGTGGCTTTACACCCCCTAAAATACACCCCCCACTGTGGATGCTCTTACAAAACCATTAGCCTATCGTGTCCAAGGCATAACCCAACCCAAATTGCACACAATGAGGACCAAGTTGTGTGTGGCAACTTGACACTTGGCAAGGTCATATAGTTAGCTTGGACATATAGCTAAGGGTTTATCCGAGCTTTTAGATGATACTCTCTCTTTTAACTGCTGGATCAAATTGGTTAACTGTTAGATCAAATTGATTAATTTAATTCAACAGTTAAGATATAGAACCTCATCCCACGACCTTCGATAAGGCCTTTATTATAAAATGAATGATGCAACATTAGTATTATTTAGTGTATAAGTAAAAAGTAAAAGCTTTTTCTTTTCATTTTTTAACTTCTAGAGAGGGGAAACCAGTATTCTATAACATGCATGCATCTTGGCTTTTTAGTTGACAAGGGTCTTTGATTTATTTGCTAGTTAACAAATGATTCTTCTTAAGTCTTGAGCGTAAATCAAGCAAATTGAATCTTATATATAAAAAGAAGCTACATTTTCCTAAGCAAGCAATCCACTATTAATTTGTCCTTTTGGGTTAGAAAGTCTAAAATTGTCTAGAGATCTACAAAGCTGTTAACTTGGGATTAAATGATACAGCAGTTTTTATAATCAGCATTAGATCAATTTTTTATTTATTTATAGCTTTTTGGTTGAACACAAGATCCAGAGTAATGTAGACGAAATTAGTAAGATAAACTATAATTATGTTTTTAGATGTGAACACTGTCATTTTATTGAAATTTGAGTCGTTTGCTTAACAATTTTTTTATCTTATTTTATGCTAAGTCGTACTTAATTCACTTTCCTTGGAGATGAACTTGTGAAATTTGGTTAATTATATGTCAGATTAATGTAACAAGATGCTATAGAAACAAGTATATAGTAGCCAATTTTCCATTGGCATGTGTTGCAACTGCCATTCATGCTAAGAACAGAAAAATGCTACTTATTCAGGTGAGAAATTGAATCTCGGATATGTATTCAAGTGACCTTATTTTTATAGCATCTTATACATTCCTCGCTCATTGTTCACCTAATTTTCACGTATTGCAATACTATAAATATTTACTAATTAGTGTAGTGATTTGGAGCAACTATTCCTTCAGGAATTAAAAAAATAATACTCCTCTCCTAGAAGAAAAGGAAACTTTAAAAGTTTAATTGAGGCTTAAGGTTTGTGATGTGTGAATTTTAACCTTGGCTGCAATTGGCATAATTCAATCCCTAATCGAAGACCCATATGTGTAATTAACTCATTTTTATTGAAGTTTGAGTCTCGTTATGCTCAATAATCTTTTAAGTCAGGTCTTAGTTGTCTAGAGATCTACAAAGCTGTTGTCCCTGATCACCATGAAACAAGGATTCTGGAAAATATTCAAAACGTTGAAATTACAAACCAGAAAAAACTTTTCTAATATAATATCAACTTCCATTTGTTTTTATCAATCAATGTTTAGCTTTTATATAAATTACAATGACCTCGTTGACTTGGTAGGTTGTCTGATATTCAAGCGGGGATAACATTTGTCCAGTCTTCTAGAATATAGTAAGGAGTTAGGACCAAGGAAAAAGAAATTACAATTAGAACAAGAAGAGTCCATGACAGCTTTTGGCGCTGCTAGTGTGTGTGATATTGTAAGTTGACACATGGTCATCTCATCTTAGCCAAAACTTGAACATTGTCGATTGTCGAGTAATTATTTTGTTTTCCACGTGGCATAGCGTTATTGCAACCAAGCTTTTCTCCTATTATGTACTGAATTTTGAGTCCTTTATTTTTATTTTTTCTGAAAAGATAACCATATGCAGCATCACTCCAAGTTTGGTTTAGCTTTGACATACATTATAACAGAATATATATGATGAAGATTACAAGCTAAATTCCAATCTACCAAACTAGATTTAGTCTCACAGAAAATTGTGGCCTACTAATTTGGAACTTGTCTGCAAGCAAACTTGTTTACTGCACAATCAATTTTGGCCTTTTATGGCCCACAGAAATTTGGTACTGTTCAGTTAGACCAAGATGTGCCATAAGAAGCCAGACATGAGTGAGCAGCTCTCCTCCTCTCCGGAGTTGCTGAGTATGATCTCTCCATCGACACTGATTAGCCGCATACGATAGCATTTCCACCCACACATGACTTATCAGCTCCCACTTCTTCTTATTATCCCAATTTTCCTTTGCTTGCAAATCTTTTGCAAGCCTGCATGCATCAAATAGCACTGACTTGCTTCTGTCACCTTTCACTTTAGCTGGATGGAGGTCAGTGCACACTTCCATGAGCTCTATGCGAGCTTCCTTGCCATCTGATTTCAATTTTCTTTCTGTGAAAAAATCCTCAGCCTCAGAACATGTGTCTCTATACCTTATCTCTCCAATCCCATTTGGCAACATGAAGGGGCAAATGACTAAAAGGTACAACATGTAGTTCGACAATCGCATACTTGCTCGACAATTTAGGTTCGTAGCAGGGTTCATTTCTTCATTGAGATCAGAATAGTAGCATAGATCTGTAGCAATATGCCAAAGAAGGATGCTCTGGTCAAATTCAGCATCATTAATGGTCCAGCCAAGTATCTTTAGACCTTTTTTGTCGAGCACCTTGTCACCCCTTCCAGCGCATAATTCTTTCCGATCCTTGAAACTCTTGGCACTTTTTGATTTCTCTTGGAGCTGCCCAAATATCAACTTCTTCACGAAATCTAGGGATTCATCGCTGTAGTCTTTGTACCGATGCTTCTCTAAAAACGTATTTATATAACAGTCCTTCTTGAAAAGAATGCACTTAGCTGGCTTAGTCTTAAGACAAAATTTTATGAGCTCGTATTGTCCCAAGGAGTTAGACCAGCTCTTGTTGTTAACCAATGGGAGGTATGAAACAGTTTTATGCAAGAAACCCCCCACACAAGCCACCGTATTTGTGTGCTTGTTCTTGTTCAGCCACAGCTTTGTCCAGTCTGAGGAAAGCAGTATGATTAGAGCATAAATTTCTAGGATGATAGCTCCTGCCAACATAATAAATGTGATAATCACATCCATTTCCCTGTATGCTTGCTTCTCGATGAAAAGGAAAATTAGGAATACTAAAACTGTTAAAGAAAAAGTAAAACAACGGAGAATGCCACCAAGGCCAGAATAAACGAGGACTGCTTTAGTATAAAACACATCATATATGAAACCTAGCTCAATCTCAATAACTTCAAAAGCTTCCTCACAGGTTGTGGCTTGGAAGAAGTTTTGGCTGTTATCTACATCATGGAAGTTGAGGATGAGATCAGCACAGAGCTTCTTTAAACTTTCAAAGAAAGTGTAAGCTTTGTTTATTGGATCATTTTGGCTACTGTCATCATCAGCTGCAGGTTCGCGTGATTGATCGCTACCTGTGGCAGCTTTGGATGCGCTGAATGTTCCAAGTTCTACCCTGAAGCCCTCATCTCTCCTTGATTTGTAGTCTTCCATGTATCTATCATAATTCGGACCAGGGTCAGGAGCTTGGAGCATAGAATCTCTAAATTGCTCACTGCTTGCAGATCTTAAAACCCAAGTCCTCTCCCCAGACTTTATAATCCCAACTATGAACATTGGTAATGCCAAAAAATTCAAGGCTTCACTAGACCATGCTCTGAATAAGATATTGGAAGCTACAAGTAACTGGGAACCTAGCCTAAGCAAGTGCCTCAGCCACAACTCATTGTCTTCTGAGGAATAAGCAGCAATAATATCTGGGCCACCAAGATGCAAGAGAAGAAAGGGTGCCCAAAATGCTGTTATTATATAGTCTGGGTTTGCAGAATCACCTTGAAAGTCTTCTTGGCTGTTGGAGAGTACGCCGAGTGAAAATGTTGCAGTTGACTCAGCCAACAAGTAAGCGAGCCACAAAACAATTCTGAGGTAGTCATTGGTTGAATGCTTTCTCCAGTTCCCAATCAGGATTAGGATGCTTTGAAAGCCGAGGCTGATTAGTACTGCAACACGAAGCTCCCACAGGCTCCAGATTTTGATCACCCGTTCTGGGAAAAGCTGCATTGCCTTCCTCCTCTTTGTGAAGAGCAAGGTGCTTATAACTGGAAATGAAAGAGAACGTATCAGACACAACATTTTAAGTTTGCATACTCATTCTAGGAAGTATATAACTTTTCTTGAAGTACAAAAAAACAAGTGTTTTCAATCAAGTTAATGAATTTAGAAGGAAACAGAAATTAGTAAAAATCTCACTTGTGACTAGCATGATTTTTCTTTGTTTTAGGATTTAAGAGGCAGCTGTAAAGTAGCAACACTTCCGGCGGCTTGTGTTTGTTTAGCTTTCCAGCATGCCGGCGGTGATGCCAGAGAAAGAGAGGAAGCTCTCTCAGAATCGATGGACTTGTATTGATAGCTGCCCAGAAAACAAGACAAGGGAGCTGCAGAAGAAGCAAGAGTTGAATCCTTTCTAATATAACCAAGGAAAAATATTATTAATCATCACTTTCTTAGGGGAGGCTATCCCTTTTAGTTTTTACAGGTTACCTATCAAGAGGAATTGTCGGCAATGAGACTCGAACTTAAGCCTTCATAGTGAACAAAATGATCCTTACCAACTCAACAAACTCTTATTGATTTATTAATATTATTAGTTTGTGAATTCGTCCATTGTAACATGTGAACTTGAACTTGTAATTTTAAGCTATATGGATGATTTTTTTTACTTTTTTTTTGGCTTCCCACGCGCTTTGCTTGTTATTGGTGTAACTGCTTGTCTTTGATTAATGAATTCTTAAGTTCAAATGAGTTTGTGTAAGATCTAAGTAAAAAGGAAATTTTTTAGCAATTCTCCTTAATTATAGATCTTGTTCCACCTTAGCCCTTTTTTAACCTTCAATTTGATTTTGAAACCCCATAATCTTTCAAAACATGCCAATGTGGTCCTTCCGTCAAGTCTGAATAAATTTTATGTTAATTTTATAGGCATAAACGTCAATTCACTCTAAAAACTTTAAAATAAAATAAAAAACTGTCTCCTTCTCTCTACCCTGCCCGATTCACCCCCACCCACCGACACCTCTCTCGCTTACCTCCTCCTCCTCGGCCACACCCCAATCTTCCTGGCCGTGCCCGTCACCAATGCAACGACTTTTGCCACCACTGCCGTCTTTGGCTGGCTCTTGGGGAACAGATCCATCTCGGCCTTGCTTTGTTCGGTACGGCTCTGATTGTTTTGGGCATTTGGCTTTGTATCAGGTAATTTGGTTTTCATCAATTCAATTTATGTATTCTGTTTGTAGAAATTTTATGTGTAGCTAGCTTGGTTTGTTGGATTATTCATGTTTGAGTGTTTGGCTGCTCAGAGAAGAGGGGAAATCAAGAGGGAAATTTGTCACCCTCTATAGAAAAAGAAGAAGAGAAAACAGAGTAACCCAGATATTTGAGGCACTGAAACAACATATTCTGGAACAACCCTACGTTGAAACTGAAACAGAGTATCCCCTGTTTTATTTTTTATTTTTTTAAATTTTAGAGTAAATTGACGTTTATGCCCATAAAACTAACAGAAAGTTTACTAGACTTGATGTTAGGGACACATTGGCATGTTTTCAAAGATTAGGGGGTTTTAAAACCAAATTGAAAGTTAAGAGGGCAAAGTGGAACAAAGCCTATAGTGCAAGGCATTGCTGAAAATATAACAATTAGATTTAGATATATCTCAACTGGAGGAAAACTACTCTGCTTATGTCAAAGACTCAAAGCTCTTGTCCAGAAACTCAGTTGAAGCCATGAACACCATTTATTCAACTCCAATAATAATCAAATTTGAACCCTCTGCAAAGTGGGAGGTTTGTTTTCTCTAAACCAAAAGCTAGCTGCCAAGGCAACTAGGCAACTAGGCGGCGGAGCGATCATGGAATGGAACTATGCAGAAACAACTGGTGCTCAGTCATTCATATCCACAACTGATGATGCAGAGAGACCTGCTGCTCCAACAGCTCAGCCTTTCCGATTTACGTACGGGGAGAGTATTGAAGCTCCAGCATTGACGATCATCATCAATGATAACCGATTGCTTGATGTACTTCAGGTTATGGTTAGCATAGCAGAGCAGGGGAGCGCCATCAAGCCCTCTGCATTCTATGATACCTTTCTCAAACATGGTCGCTTTTTGGTGATGTTTGTGGTGTTCCTTCTTGGCCGGTATGTTAGCCATATACCGTTGTATCTAGTGTTCTTCTGCATCTCTCTAATTAGCCTGTCGTTTCTATACGTCTACATCCACTATGTGCCGTTTCTGTTCTTACAAGAAGACATCATGTGGATTCGAAGAGAGTCGAGGTTACTGAATGCTATTTCAGAGGATGCAGCAAAAGTGGCGGGTTTAAGGGATCAGATAGACACCAGAGCAAAAGAAATCCTGGATCCCAGCATTTACTCTGGTGGAGCAACTATAGAAGGACTAAATTATGTTGAGGCAGAATGGGTGGCCAAAACCAGATCAGTAGTTAAAAGAGCAAATGCTTTAGTGGCAACCTTTGAGAACCAGAGGAGAAGAGACTCCCACATGATCCACAGAATATGTTTTGGTACAATCAGTGAGAAGGTGAAGCAGGTAGAATGGCTTTTAACTGAAACTAAGCAAGTTAAGGAGGAAATAAACGAGCGCATTAAGATGAAGGCGGATCGTGGGATTAACATATGTGAATCGCTGGAGAGGTCGAGATCTGAAATGAGAAGCCTTGTAGACAGACCCATTTATGAAAGCAGTCATCAACAAAAATGGGTAGAGTCTAAAAGGCGAGTTGAAACATCAGCTGCTTTGACTTTCTCCATTACAAAGAAGATGAATAGTCTGATGACTCAAGAACCAGATGAGCAAATACATTCAATATATCTGCAGTTGATGCTACTGTATCCCTTTCTGAAAGATATAGAAGAAGTTCGTTTCGAAAGTGAAATTGAAGAGGCTTGGGTGGAGGAAATGGAAGAGGTCATTAATCAAGCACAACCTGCCATTGAAAGCTTCTTACTGCAGAGACCAGAGCACCGATTAAGTGGCTATCGATTATCGACAATTGGAAGGCACGGAGAAAGCTCAAGGAGGACATAAGGTGCATTGACAGTCGGTTCACAGAACTTTTGGAGAGGAAGGAGAGATATGGCTTCAGATTTATAAGAAGAGATTCATCGAAGTTTGTCAATCAATCCCCACATCACAATACCCGAGATGGCATTATTTCACCTGGCACAATTCACAGCTACCTCGAGGCGAAGCCAGATATATCTCGTGAGGTACATGGTAAATTGGGATTGCTATGCACTCATTTTGACAATATGAATAAACTTGTAGATGATGCAGAAATGATTGAAAGAAGATATATTTCCAGAATGGCTTGGTTGGAACAAATGAATAATATTGTTAAACGTGCAGAGAACTCCGTGCAAACATTCATGAAAAGTTCAAGGAACGTAAGGATAAAGCAGATTCAATTCAGAACAAACGCTGGGACAAATCTTTGGCGCGAAATTGGCCAAATGGAGAATACTGTCAATCTTGTTACAAGGACCATAAAAGCGTACAACATTAAGTTTACAAAAGAGTCAAACTCAGTGGTCGGTTTGGAAGAAGATGTACATGAACTGGTGTCACGACTGACAACCAACAACGAACATCACCCTTTTTTTTCCATTTTAGGCATTGGAGGCATAGGTAAGACAACACTGGCAAAGGAAATCTATAACCATGCAGATGTTGCAACACACTTTCCTCAACGTGTATGGATCTCTCTACCTTGGAAGTCCAGTGAATCCTGGGTCCAAACGGTACCCAAAAATGTGAGGTACCTTTTAGTTCTAGACAACATCTCGACCAAGGAAGAGTTGGAAGAAGCTCTGACAGTAGCATCACCAAGTGGAAGCAGAATTCTGCTCACGACAAGAGACACAAATTTGGTTTCAGAAGTTGGCAATCCTCCCCACCACCTTCGTCTACGAACCAAAGAAGAGAGCCGGAAGTTACTTAACAAGATGGTGCACTTTAATCTGAAAGAGGAAGTGAAAGCAAAGGAAATTTTAGGCAAGTGCGGGGGTTTCCCACTCGCCATTGTACGCCTTGGATATCTAATATCAAGGACTGCTGTTTATAATTTTGAGGAGTTGGAAAGGGTGATCAAGCAGAAAGAGAAGCCAATGTTAGAAACTTACCCTACCATAGAGTCCATACAAGGGAGCCTTCCCAAATCTGATCCTCATATGTTTAGGTGCCTATCTTACTTGAAACTCTTCCCAATGGAGATTGAAATTCCTGCAAGGAGATTAATTGCTTTGTGGATTGCAGAAGGGTTGGTAAAAGTGGAAAAGAAGACAGAATCCCCTGAATCTGAAGATGTTGCAAATGAGTATCTAACGGAGTTGATTAATCGGGACATGATTCAAGTAGTTGAAAGAAAGCTTAATGGTACAATCAAGACATGCTGCTTACCCTATAGTCTACAAAAACTCGAGTTTTACAAGAATCAAAAGAGGATTGTTAATTTTAGAAGAAATGATCCAAGTCCTACTTCTGGTAAAAGCTCAAATTTTCGAAACGATTATCGAGATCTGCTCTCAATTCTAACCTTTGATACTCGAGAAGGAAATACACCTGGAGAAGAAGCGGGTAAGTTTCTTAGAAAGGGCATTGCAGGCGGTTGCTTCCGAAAGCTACAGGTTCTTGATCTTGAACGTCTGTTTAGACCTGAATTGCCAAACATGTTAGGACCATTAAGCAAGTTGAGGTATCTAGGCTTGAGGTGGACTTGCCTTGGATCAATCCCATCATCCATTGGTGAATTGGTGAACCTCCAAACCTTAGATGTGAAGCATACATCTGTCCGAAATCTCCCTGGTTCAATATGGAAACTGCAAGAACTTCGAAACCTATACTTAAACCAGAATTGTCGAAGTAGACTTGAGCATCATCAAGGTGGTAATTCCTTGAAGAATCTCCGGACATTATGGGGTTTATTTGTGGATAAGGATAGTCCGTTGAAAGATGGGCTGGACAAGGTGACCAACCTCAGAAAATTGGGATTGGCATTCCAGTTAGAGCAGGAAGAGCAAAAGGCATTAGCAAACTGGATTAAAAAGCTGAAGTACCTTAAGTCTTTAAGAATAAGATCAATTGGGGGAAAAGGGCAAACCCTGTGATCTGATGTGCATGCCTTTGTCAGGCCTCAACCATCTCTCCAGCCTAAATTTGTTTGGGAAGCTAACTTCTTCCATCATAGCTGAATTCCCTAAAAACCTCACTGACCTTACTTTGTCAGCCTCTTCTCTTATAGATGATCCAATGCCCAAATTAGAGAAGCTCTCCAACCTTAAATTACTATGTTTTTACTCTAATTCTTATAGAGGTAAAGGGATGCGTTGCGCCACAGAGGGCTTTCCTCAGCTTTTAGTTTTAAGGTTGTGGAATCTGGTGGAACTAGAAGTTTGGGATGTAGAGGAGAAGGCAATGCAAAATCTCAGGGAGTTGGAGATAAGATCCTGCAAAAATTTGAAGATCCCAACAGGGTTGGGACACTTGAAGACTCTCCTTGAATTCAAGGTAACTGATATGCCACGAGACTTTGCTGTAGACATAGCCAAAAATAAGAGGCAACTTTGGGATGACGTTGTCCACTCCCCAGCAATCATCGCAGCTAAGTGAAAGGATTCAGATAATAGGCTCACGTAGGATGGTATGTTTTTCTTTTCTTTTCTTTGTTTTTTGACTTTTTTTCGCTTTCTGTTGCTTCAACATTTCCATCCTTCAATAACTCATGAAGCTAATATCAAAACTGCAATTGATTTCTCTGTATACAGTATACTGCAACGAATTAGGGAGGATTTGGATATGTATATACCGAAACATGTTCCAGTAAATATATATCATATATCTAATTATCTCAATGCTTATGTTATAGACATAAATATATGCATCATGCAAGTATAGTATGTTCTCCTCTAGATGAAATTTTTTCAATGTAATTAAGTACGTATAATATGAATCATCGGCATGCATTTACATATTCCATGGATATGCAAATTTTTCCCCCATCATATAAAGTTATATTTTGGGGAGAATTGAACACAAGACTATAAGTATATAGATGAAATGCTCTTAACTATTTGAGCTACAAGCTCATTTCTAGCTTCTTTAAAATAAAAATAAAAATAAACTCACCTAGTAATACTGATTAGTACAACTTATTGTGATTTCAGGTGACAAAGATGCTGATGCATAGAGGATTTGGCATTGGGGTCTCGACCGCGGAATGATCAGGCTATATTAGGAATATCCTCAAATTTCCATAAAATATAATGGCTTTGCAATGACATTCTTTTTTCTTTTATTTTTGAAAGAGATTTGCTTTTGTGCCTGATGATTGATATTGCAAATTTATCAAAGTTTGGTTGTTCAAGTGTTCTATTGATACGCTATGTGAACTGTGATAAATAGGGCGGAGGCAGGGGAGACTCCCATGGGCTATGGATTGCCTAGGAAGCTTTTCTGAAAATTCACAAATACTGCATATGTTTTTATATGTTTCAAGTGTCATACACCCAAATAAGCACAGTAGCCCTTTTATGTATAATGAATTCATCTCTCAACACAGCAGGTTAAGAATGATGAGAAAATTGACTGCAACGCAAGTCGAGATCTCTCTATCAACCATAAGGGAAAAAAAAATTGCCTGTAAAGTTTCGCTACTCTACAAGTCTCTATGACCATCTAAATCATTCATCTTAAGTAGTATCCATATGATAGGGGAGAGGGACAGAGGTTTCACTAGGGATGGGGGACGGATTTCTGGCCGGAAGGAGGGTGGGTCTTTAAAAGCTTCCACGCAACATGGCCAAATTCCACTGAAGGGGTCATCTATGGCCTGGATTAAGATGGTCGGTATTATACATGGGTATAATATCCAGCCACTGAATGTTGGTAGGTGAGTGAGAGCTGCCTCAAATGGAGCTACTAGCCAATGTTGATAAATATGCCAACGAGGACGTCGAGTAGAAAGCGTGGTGGAATTTTAGGACTCAAATCTCACACTGAAAAAGTAGCATATATTGGAATGATTTAAGAGCGCTCTAGTACCTTTCCTGTACCAAGTAGTTTTTAAAGCCAAGTTCTACCCATGGACTCTTTAATTAAAACACATAAAACTAAAAATAGAACAAAAACGAAATAGAAAAGCACTAATCTAGCATTAACAAGGGTACAAAGCAAATGAATGGAATGGCTGCAGACTGTTAATTCAAAATATGGTATCAGTCTTAGTAGGCAGCCTGCTGAAGAAGTTGAAGAATGCTGCTAACGGCAACATATGGCGAAATCTTGGAGGCATCATGACAAACAACCCTGCGCCTGCAGCCACCGCTTTGAATGGTGTCAGATATAACACTGAGGTAACCGCAACGCAAAATGTTACAAAGACGACAGTGGCACGCGGGTCTCGCCAACTTAACAGCAACTGAAATCGCTCCGCCAGAATAGCCACATCACCCACTAGAGCCTGAACGCTACTAGCATTGCTCCTCAGCCGATTGTATCTCATTCTCACCAGCTCCATATTCCGGCTGGTCGGATAAGTGTCGAATTCCTCATCCAGCTCATCAATGGTCACGAGCTCAAGTTGTGAGAGCTTTATGTTAATGTGGGGAGGATACCTAGCCCGGAAGCGGAAGTTCCATAACCCAGATAGAACCATGCAAAGAAAAGCCGTGGGCAGAATTAGTTGTGGGAAGCAAACGAGCATGAGAAAGAAAACATGGGCAAGAACTGTCATTATGGGATTCTTCCACATGCAAATTTCCCAAAACCATTTGCCTGCAGAAATGACTCCGGACAAAGCTGTCGCTAGCCTAGAAAAATTTGCTCTACTCCGTCGTATGCTCCAAAAATGGCAGTTCCCATCACACATGTATTCCACCACTTCCCCTCTCAGTGGAGGATCAGCTCGAGAAAACTGTGCTTGGACTAGGTAAATAGCAATCATCCTTAATGTGTCAAGCTGTGCCGCCGTGATGGGCCTTAAGTAGTGCATCTTGGGCATCTGTGGCTGTGAGTAGGAGTAAAGCGTTTTAACAAAAGAGGTGCAAGAAAATCGAACTGCCAAATGCAACTCCCCCATCTTCTTAACACCAGACGGGTGAACAGCCAGCAGTGGATATCGGTGTGTGTAAACACGGCCTGCTTCCAGTGATGAGATACGAATTCGAACCTTCCCAATCATCGCGTGTCTGGAGTCATTCCCAAACTGCAGGTTGTTGTCAAATACACCTACAGTAAGAACCGTAGCAACATCAAAAACCTCCCATATGCATTGTTCATGATATCTTGGACACAGTTCCCCAACAATGGTTCTTGTCCGGAACCATTTATGACCATACTTTGCTACGCAGTATGCATCTGTTGTGCCCCTTCCGTCACGTGTTTTCATTGGATGAAGCTCTACAGCATCCAAGATTCCGAGCTCTAAAACCCCAATTGATGGCCTCCATAGCTTCTTTGATGTGGGTCGTAAATCACTGTTATAATGAGGTGATTCATTGGCGACATGGTATCCTCCCTCTAGACAAAGTCGGAGATGGATGCTGGATGATAACTTTTCTCTTTCCGACTCATTTTGATCCACAGCCACTGGCTTTTCCAGTTTATACCATCGGCCACGGATCATACAATCATCAGCACGCCTATCGACAGATTGCAGCGCTATTGTGACCCCCCCAATGGTTTCATCTTTTCCGGGACACACATGATCGTGAACAGAAATGATAAGATCATCTTCAAAGGGTTCAGCAGCGACAAGCAAAAGATCTTCATTCCAAAGGGGGTTTAGATTTTGCACCTGAATTTTTTGTGTTACCGAAACCTGGTTTCCTATTTTTACCAGGACATAAGCATATGGGAAACGATTCTTGTCATCTATAAACAGGTTGTGTGCCTCAATAACATTAACACGTAAATACCCACAACCTTGGTGCAAGATAGACCTTTGAGCCTAGCACTGTGGAGGTAAGTAGTCTGACATCAACATGATTGCTTGCATTATCAGAATGCCATGCACCGGGGAAAGCCTCATCTGCTTGGGTGCCAAACCAGACAGCGAGCATTAGCTCACCCCTAGCTTTATGCCCTGTATTGTCTTCAATCCGATACCATTGTGGAGCAAGAGGATTATCAGATTCAGGAGGGACTCGCAATGGAACATCATGGATGTCAAATTTTACAATCCCCACAAAGTCATGATCATCCCTAACATCATTGTCCCTAACCATGACTTCTAACTCAGATGATTTTAGCCGATCCCCCGAAAAGGCAAAAACCTCATTCCATACTGGATTTTGTTCCTTTTCATAGTAGTTGGTAAACCATTTATAGTCTCCAACTCGTACCTCAATATATGGAGCAAGCCTTCCTGTAACATCCATGGCAGGAAGATCACGAGCTTTAACAACCCTTACATACAAAAAATACATCTGTTCAACTAGATCATAGGCGCTTGCAGTCTTCTCTCCATGAATAACACGGCCCCCAGCAACTCTTCCACCTCCAAGTTTAGGGCTTGTCTCTGTAAGTGAAAATTCATGGGCTTCATACTTAAATGCATTATCGTAAACTTCTGGAGCAACTGGAGGATGTTGTTGGCGTTGGCGGTCATAACTTGGATTAGGAGGATGACGACAGGTGGGCCTTGTCCCAAATTCCGAATTATTAGAGGTGCTTGTAGTCTCATCTGCAGCAACATCCCCTCGATGTGAATCTTGGCCATCACGACTTTGATTAGAACTATGTTGAGAGGTATGCCCCCGTCTCAGCTTCTGTATTAGAGGTGCTTGCAGTCTCATCAACAGCAGCATCCCTCATATTCGAATGTTGGCTGCTGTTACTACTTGGATTAGAAATACGTTGAGAGGTGCGCCTTGTCTCAGTTTCCGCATTAAAGGAGCTTGCATTCTCATCATCATCAGCATCCCCCATACGGGAATGTTGGCTGCCGTGACTTGGATTAGAACTATGAAGAGAGTTGGACCTTGTCCTAAATCCCTCATCATCGATGCTTGAATTCTCATCAGCAGCAACATCCCTCATACGTGAATGTTGGCTGTTATGACTTGGAGTAGAAGCATGACGAAAGGTGCGCCCTCTCTCAGCTTCCACAATAGCGGTGCTAGCAGTCTCATCAGCAGGAGAATACCCCAGCAGAAGTTGGCTTGGATTAGGAATTTGAGGAAAGTTGTGCCTTGTCCCAGCTTCCACAATAGCGCCGCTGGCAGTCCCATCAGCAGGAGCATACTCCAGCAAAAGTTGGTGGCCATGACTTGGATTACGGAGACGTGGTATCTCAACTTCTGCATTTGGAGAAGTGTTCGTCACGGGATTTGAAACTCCTTGATTCGATCCATGAGCTACGCTTGGATCCATAGTACCTAGGGCTCCAACAACAGCAATTGGGGTGGAGGGCCTAATTGATGGGTCATCAGTAACATAAACCTTTAGGCCGAGCTCTCCTCTTACAGAAGACCATGAGAGGCGACGCTTTTTATTCAAAGGGTAATGCGTAACAGCAGCATCAGAATAAGAGCAAAATAAATTCCCAGTAAGACTAATCTTTCCAATAAACGATCTTGAGGAGGTAGCTGTGGCACTACTGTAGACACATGCATCGAGAGTAAGGTTGTGATAATTCAAAGGATCAAAAATGTTGAAGCAGAAGCTTTCATTCCAATCTGGATTAAGATTCTTTTCTATAGTGGTGGTAAGGAGCCTTTGACCATCAAAGTTAAGCTCCACAAAGGCATTGGATGAGCCTTTCCCATCTGTAGGCAAAAGATCATAGGCGCTGACGACATCTACCCGCAGCTTAGAGTTGCTCATAGTGACATATATGTGTGTATACTGGAGAAATGGAAAGTAACTACAGGCACCTGCAAAGGAGGGAATAACTAAAATGAGATACTGTCATATGCGTTTCGGCTCATTGATATGTAACAGAGAGATGATCAATTCGATAGAATCAAGGGATCAATAGTTCAAGCATATGTTTTAATAAGTATCAATGTAAACCAATCAGTAGGCCAGGGGGTGAACTGCAACAATTTCGTTATCCAGATACATAAGATTTCAAAACCTTTATCTTAATGCATGTTCTAAATGAGGAATCTTTAATAAATAACATAACATAAAAAGTAAGCCCAAAATAATAAGCAACTAAAACAGCATATTTAGTTAAAAGTGTTCCACATCCCTCCAGTGTCTCTTAACTGAAAGTTGAATCGATGCTCAAAGAAGAAACTAAGAAAGAATAAATTAATATGCATATACACATGGTTTCCAGCCTACCTGGTTTACATAGAAATAGAATAGGAATATGATCATTGAAACTGATATTTTCAGTTTCAGCCAAGGAGGAAATGGTTGGATTTGTAAAGAAGAAATGGCTCTGTTCTCTAACTGGGGATTTTGAAGAGAAATGATCTGTTTTCTCTGCAATGTGTGTTTTTTAATGAGGAATAAATAGTTACAAGTCTAACTTTGTTTAACTAGATTAATCAGTTATGTTCCACTTCCTCTTTAGCTTCAGTTGTCTCTCCATGTATTTGGAACTGTGAATTTTGAATTTTGGTTAACTAACCAAGAACAGTACCAATATTTGGACTGTGAAATTATCAATATTAATTATGTAATCTCCTAACAAGAGAAACCCATCAAGTAGAAGAAGCCATTTTATTTTGAAAGAGAGGGAGAGAGGAGAGAGAAGGAAAAGGGACATGTGTTGGCCAATGGCTTTTGCATCTTTATGGTTCTTTGACAGCAAATGATGTAGAACATCATTCACATCCAGCAGGATATGCCCAAGTTATTAACAAACTGAACAAAAGTCTGAGTGAATAATACTAAACAATAATCATACCAAAAACAAAGAGAGAAAAAACTGAACAAATTCTGAGTAAAATGTGGGAAAGTTTACCTCCTACTTTAAAGCTAAAAGAAGCATCAGGTTTTCTCCCTCTTCATTTTCAAGAGCTAGCCTTGGCCGGCAGCAGAACTTAACATTTTTTTAGTATTTGGTTGATTGCTCTAACTAATGCATTTGGCCTAATGTTGGGGAGACGATTAAAATTTTATAGTAATGTTTGATCTAGTCTCGGATGTCGCAAACTCTGACATTTTATTGACTTTGGACTCGTTTACTTGATAAGCTTTGATGCCTAGATCATTTTTTAGTATTACATCGTTTACTTCACTCATAGTTATGTACTAGACAATTCTTTATTAGTTTTATTTGGGGAAAGTTATAGTTTTGGTGAGTACAGCTTGGTCATTTTCTATTGTAATCTCACTGATTTTAGGCTTCATGCAGCAAATGTGTTGATGGTGCTTGGTTTAACAAGTCTACTGGCTTTATACAGCAACTGTGTCTTAGCTAAGCATGTTGGCTTTCTTTCTGTTGATGATGTTTGGTTTAACCGAGTCTGTTGGTTTTATGCAGCAAATCTGTCTTAACCTTTGTGGCTATGGTTGGATATTTTCTTGATGATGTATTGACCCTTTTGCGTCTGCATTATGACAATTTCACTTGATAAAAAATAACTACAATACAATGTATACATTTGAGCTCTTCTCCAATTGAAAATTGACCAAAAGCTCTCTCAGTTGAGACATTGAAGCTAAAGACGGATTTGAAGGGCTGATATAGTTTGATTTTGTGTTGGTTTCTTCACATCTGTATTTAGATCCTTCAAAAAACACCGTTCAAGCATGTATTTTGATCCCTCATATCTTTATTTTTTCACATCTGTATCAAATAGTTCAAGCTTGTATTAACAATACGTATTAACGCATCAATCATGTATTAACAACAGGTAGTAGCAGTTTATTCAAAGCAGGAATATGAACCAAATTATTGAATTCCTGTGCCACACATCTTTATCAAGTTCTCAAATTATAGACATTAATTAAAATTATCATTAAGATGAGATTTAGTTGTGGTTTCTGAGTCGTTAAGATTTGGTGGTTTGTTTGTTTTTTTTTTTTTTTTTTTTTTTTTTTTTTTTTTTTTGGGGGATTTGTTTGAATGGAGGAGGAAATGAGGTTTCGATCTTGAGTGCCAAGCTAGGAGGAAGAGGAGGGACGCAACCACTGTGGTAACCCCCACTCAACTTATTGTTTTTTATCAGTAATTTGCGGAACAAAAAAGAAGACGAAGTGGTTTTGAAGCCCAAATGCAATGCATAATATGGGAAATAGACCACTTACAAGCCCAAACCTAAGTAAACCTACAAACTTAACAAACCCAAGTGAAGAAACCTACAAGTAATTTTATTTCAATGAGGGGAGGAAAGGTACAAAGCTTTAGATATGGAACTTAGATTTAGATATAGGAGCTAGTAGTTTTTCAGCTTGATTACATAGAGGTGCTTTTTTTTTTTTTGGTAAGTAATATTTTAGCCACTAGTTGTCCTATAATTCTAGAATAATCCAATATACAATTATATTAGATATTTATTTAGTAGTTGGTACCAGTTTTTCTTTACAAAGCAGAGGAAGCTGGAGCAGATTTTCCCTGAAAGTTAGCCTCAACGCCATTCAACAGACCATGTTGACAATTCCAATGAATATGCATGTGTTCCTTAGAACAATGGAAGAAATTCTTATACAAATCCCACTTAAGTCAAGTTGGAGCATATGGATATCATAAAGGCCTAAACTTGCTGGACACAAATTGGCATTGATATTTCCCAAGTGATGAGCTTTTCGTTTGGTCAATTTGATATTGATATGCACCTTTGCTTAGTCAAATGAAATAGTTTGGCTAATTGAATTTATCATCAATTAGTTGGTGGAGTTAAGAAAAATTAACAACATTATCTTGTGACATAAAGTGAGGAAAATTAACACCACATATATTGACGAGTATGGAAAAAGAGGGATTCGAACTCTCGGTAAATAAAAGTCTACATAACAGTTCCAATGCTACGTCTTGGACCACTCCACCATAGATTATTTTTCATTTGGCCAATAATAGATTTAGACTCAGGATGAGGAATTACAAGTATATTCTTTCATTCGATGAGAAAAAGAGGTGTAAATTCATTGTTGGGTTGGGAGAGAGAAGTAAGGTATAGCTACTCAAATTCTCTGATTGGTCCTCTTGTGCCTAAGAAAATCATGCCACACTACCCATTGCTGTAAAATAAATAATTTAGAGGCAAAGAAGAACATATATTTAACAACAAACACAAAAAAGTCCACCTGGTCCCAGGAGGACAAAACCAAACATATTTAGAGTCTCTCCAAGAGCACGAAGCAGTAACAAACAAAAACATTTATAGTTTTTTTTTAAATATATATTTATTTCTTGAAGCAGAATCTGCCGTCGGCAGACTATTCAAATTCAACCCATCACAGATTGAAACAAGTTCATCTCTTTCTCTCTCTCTCTAATCGTAATTTGTGGATCTCTCCACTAGCATGACATACCAAAGAATAAGTTAACCACTCAAGACACACAAGAGATATTAGAGTTAAAAATCCATAATCAAACATCACATCCAACAAATTAACAGCACACCCAACATTAGAAAATGCCTTCCTTTGTCTCTTTCAAGCACCACCATTGCCCTAATCCATTAATTTAACACATTTCAGAGAAAACCAATTCTAAACCTTTGCTCTATCTCTCTCTCTCTCTCTCCCCCCCTTTTTTTGGTCAATGATCAAACTTAGTCACCCCCCACAAACCATATTGCTCTCTCTTCTTCATCCTCTTCCTCTCTCTCTCATCAAACACATCATCACATCTTGTCTCAACAGCCCACCATCACAATGACCACTCAAGAACCAGAACCAAACTCAACTTCAGATCACATCCTGGACTGGCTTGAAGATTCAGTTACTTTCTTCCCAACTTTCTTGGATGATCCTTACCATTCAAACGACATCAATGGCCTTCAGTGGTGGGATGAGAGCCATGATCTGATTCATTCCAACACCACTTCTACTTCTCTCAACAACCTTACTAGCATTGCTCTCCCTACCACCACAAGGCCCCCAAATCCCACAAATTTGAATCAGCAGTCGCCGTCTGATTCGTCCAAGAAACGAAAAGTCTCCGATGACCAACATATTGATCAGAAGAATCATGTCCGTCCGATCAGTCAGGCGAGCCAGGGGGACCAATTAGTTGAAGAAGTAGTGGTGCCAGTTAAGAGAACAAATGGGAACAAAAAAGGCACAGCTAAGACTACAGGGAATAACTGTAATAACGGTAATAGCAAGGAGGGGAGGTGGGCAGAGCAGTTACTAAACCCTTGTGCTTTAGCCATAACAGGTGGGAATCTGACACGTGTCCAACACCTTCTGTATGTTCTGCATGAACTTGCCTCTCTTACTGGCGACGCCAACCACCGCCTGGCGGCTCATGGCCTCCGAGCACTGACTCAGCATCTGTCCTCCTCTGCCCCCCATGGCTCTGCCTCAGCACCACCTGTTACTTTTGCTTCCACAGAGCCAAGATTTTTCCAAAAGTCTCTGCTCAAATTCTATGAGGTTAGTCCATGGTTTGCTTTCCCAAATAACATTGCAAACTCTTCAATTCTTCAACTTATTGCTGAAGAATCTGATCGAACCCGAAACCTTCACATTGTTGATGTTGGTGTGTCTCATGGTATGCAATGGCCTACTCTGCTTGAGGCCTTGACTCGGAGGCCAGGTGGTCCTCCCCCATTGGTGAAGATCACAGTTGTTTCTGCTGCTGCCAACACTGAAAATAACCAAAACAGAGAGAACAGAGAGACCCCATTTTCAATAGGTCCTCCCGGTGACAATTTCTCCTTTAGACTTCTTGGTTTTGCCAAGTCCATGAACATCAATTTACAGATCAACCGTCTCGACAATCAACCATTACAAAATCTAAATGCTCAAGTGATTGACACCTCCAACGACGAACTGTTGATTGTCTGTGTGCAATTTAGACTCCACAACTTGAACCACAACACCCCGGATGAAAGAACTGAGTTCTTGAAAGCACTGAGAAACATGGAGCCAAAGGGGGTGATCCTAAATGAGAACAACATGGAGTGTAGCTGCAACAATTGTGGGGACTTCGCCACGGGGTTTTCGCGGCAAGTGGAGTACTTGTGGAGGTTCTTGGACTCAACTAGCTCGGCGTTCAAAGGGCGAGAGAGCGATGAGAGGAGAGTGATGGAAGGAGAGGCAGCAAAGGCTTTGACAAACCGCGGAGAGATGAATGAAGGGAAGGATAAATGGTGTGAGAGAATGAAGGGGGTAGGGTTCGTAGGGCAGGTGTTTGGAGAGGATGCCATAGATGGAGGAAGAGCCTTGCTGAGGAAGTATGACAGCAATTGGGAGATGAGAATGGATGAGAAAGATGGGTGTGCAGGGTTGTGGTGGAAAGGGCAGCCTGTTTCTTTTTGTTCATTGTGGAAGACTGATGTGAAAGTAAGTAACAGTTAAAATAAATAAAAAATACACACACACACACAAAACATTTGTTAGTAGTGAGTGTTTCTCTCTCTTTTCTCATGTCTTGAATTTCAGAGGGTATAAGATAAGAGTTTTTATATGTAAATGCTGGCTTTGCAATTTAGTGTTCCAGCTATATCTCCCTGATTTCATTTCATTGCTCTTTTTGTGATTTGCCCAACTATATACAGTGGTCAACAAATTGTGATACTTTTTTGCCTTATTATCACTACCCAGAAGTCGGTTCCTTTAAACCACACCATACAGAGACGTTGAGAACTTGAGAACCAGTAAAATCAAGAAAATAAAAAGGACACCACTGGATCGTAAGCCCCGTTCAGTTAGTCCAAAGGACCAAGCTCCAAAGGACCAAGCGAATAACTGTACAATCGGCCAAGATATACTCCGGGTTTGAAGCCCAGAGGCTCCACACATGTCTCAGCCCATCGCACAAGGCGATAAAGACTCCAAGCGCTCGGAGGTTACCTGTTTCCAGGCCTGCATCTCTGCAGTTAGTGGGGGCCCGGGGACTTTCCTGAGCCTAGTTCCTTTTATAGAACCGTGGCCCATTCGCTTCGCCCAGTGATGTCACGGTTGGTGCATCCACGCTTGATTATAAACAACTCAAAAAGCTCTTGTGTAGCCGATGTGGGATTCTGAACACAGGAATAATTACACGCAGAACGCAAGAGACAAGGAACCAAACAAAAGACAAACACGTATGGTTTTGATGCAAACCTGCGAGCGGTGCTAAAATTCAAATGAGCTTACTCTATCTAAGCCGAAATGATTATGCTTTTTACTCAAGCCGAAAGAGAAATTACCAAAACCTTGTATAACATCTGCACATGATTCACATAAAGCTTCAAGTATATACACAAAACATCCATATTTACTTCATGGGGTTACAAAATTACTACATGTCAAACCAAGTATGTTTAGCCACTATGTAAATCCCCTATTAGCTTCCCCCTAATACTAGCTAACTCATGTTAAGAATCATATATCCGGACTGAAGTGCGTATTTGCTGGCGACAAACAGGGCACTTTGGTGCTACATCCCGTTCAATTGATATGCTGCAGAGTTGGCAACAAACTAGATGCCCGCAAGGAATGAATGCCGATCGCCTTCTCCTCATCAGACATATGACACACAACTGTCCATCTGGAACATCTCCTGCATCCTCTTCTTCTTCTTCCTGTTGAATTTGGGCTTCAGCATTGCTGGCACGGATTGATCGCTGTGACTCCCTTTGCTGCCTCCACACTTTCCATCTATTCCAATTCCTGAAACAATATTTATAACTCAATTTATTGAAACTCATTCCTGATCACTGTGATCATCTGTGTTTAACCAGTTCCTTTTCCTCTCTTAAATTATAATGGGTGAGTATGAGATCCCATACCAGAATGAGAAAATTGTGTAATAACTACGGAAGTTGTAGTATCAGACCAAAAGTAAACCAGAATTTGTAATATGTCATACATTTCTGTATCTGAATTACATATCTTTGAAGAAATTATTTCTGGATCACTTTAGGCCAGGTAAAACAAAAGGGAGAATAGTGGAGAGAAGAAAGGATGCTTTTATTTTCATAGGTTTGGAAAGATGGAGAAAATCAGTAGTTTTTCATTTTCTATGAGCCGACTTTCTCTCAGCTCTCACCTGTAGAGTAGTTGAGAAGGAAATCTAGAGTTATTCAATCTCCTCTTCTTCTTTTTTTCTCTTTAGATATAAGGACAACAGAATGGAAATTTATTATGTAAAAAATTTCTCATCCACCACTCCTTGACAAGGACAAGTTAGGTTAAGGAAAATCAAAAGAGGGACAGCTCTATTCATGCAAGACATGAAAGAGAAAGGTTAAAAGAAACTGAAATCAGGAATTCAACATGGTTGAATGAATCTCATGGAAGGAACAATAGGAAACTACACACACATTACAGAACTTCAGCATTATACAAAGTTGTCCCACACACCAGCCTACAGACATTTAATAGCTTTCGAGATTGAACAGAAAGTCGCAAGCAGAGTGGAGGAAAAAAATTAACATTTCAAGGGAAATTTGTACCTGGTAACAGCATAGGCAAGGACTCCAATTGACACTGAACCAAGGAAAATCCCACTCCAGAATAGTACTTTTGTGCGTGATGTAAGATCTACCACCATCTGATCCTTAGGCATCTCAGAGCTGCAAAAGATAAATATCAGTTTAGGGCGCCAAGCAACAAATAAATTGACCTTCCTACAGCCACATATTATCAATCAGGGAGGGTGAAGGAATAAAGGAAAGAACTGGAATCTTCAAAAATTAAAATTAAAAAAGGTAAAGCTGTATATAATATTTCTATCCTCTGGATGACCAGACTGAATCTTAAATCAGGATGCTAGTTTTTAACCACTGAATAATCCAATAGATGAGAGCACTGCTGCACCAATACATTATAATAGAAGAAACTATAAGTTAAACTGTTTGACAACAATTAAAATGGAAGGGTACAAGAACCGAGGTCAATCGATCCAACCGAAATCCTACAAATATTTACCGGATTAGAAAATAAAAGCCCGTCCTAGACATAGCAGAAAATATAGAGAACACATCTGCCAGAGTAAGAGTAATCACTTTTCCATATCCAACTGCAATACTGAAGATTCAAGAGAACATGCTCAAGAACAAGCCCACTTACAGAAAATAGGGAAAATCTTTGCAAGACTTGATTTCCAGTACTCCGTCTTTAACACTGCAGAGACCAACAGCACTAATTTCCTTTCCCAATGGAAGAATCTTCTCTTCATCTAGCAAACCAACCTTAGAAACCAGAAACAAAAAATGACATTACAAGATTTGTAATAAAATGTGAAGCTAAAGAACACTAAAACTCAGATACTAACAAGGACAATGAGAGCCAAATGCAGAACTTACTGGGTACCGATGGCCAAAAAGTGCCTCCAGGAATGTGTACGGAGAAGGATTAACAGGATGCAGATGATGATAAACTGTGGTAAGAGGTAGGGGATGACTCGATCCATCCATATCCACAGCAACAAACTCCGAAATCGGTCTTCGGCCACCTTCAGCAAGAATGAACGGAACCGTTCTGAAAACCTTCGATTCTCGCTCCCTCCAAGACCGAGAGAATATAGCTCTCAAATCCGACGGCCATCCCACGAAACCTTTCCACTCATTATAAACGCACTACAAGAATTCAATTTACAATTCAGTTTTCATCGAAATACACCACAATAAATAACAAAGATTCAATTTTCTCAGCAACGAAAGAAAAGAAAACGCACCGTTTGAGTTCTCTGAAGAACCACGGCTCTTTCCTTTGTACCCTGGGAAACGAGCACGCCGGAGTTGAGGATATTCCAGTTGCCGTCGACGGCGGATTTGGCTTCAACGGTGCCGCGTACAACGACGAGCTTTGCATCGGACGGCTGCGATTCGTCGGAGTGATCGAGGGAGAGGATTGAGCGGAGATCGGAGACTTCGACAGAGGGAGCGTTATGGAGTTTTCGAAGGGCCGAGGAGACCGAGTTGAGCTTGAGGACGGTGCGCACGGCGGCGTACGCTAGGGCTACGCCCAAAATGGCGCCGTCGAAGGAGAGGGCGAGTTGGGAAACCAGGGAGATTAGGGCTTGCTCGTGCGATGACATTGCTGTGTTTGTCGTCTGGTTTCTACATTCGGTAGGGTGGGGAAAGTGAAGAGAGAGAACGTGGTGATATGGCGGTGACTGGCGGGTGGCGGGCTGGAGAGAGAGAGAGAGAGAGAGAGAGAGAAGGGTCGGGAAATGGTTTTTTTAGTAGATTTAATCAAAGACCATGGGTGATTTTGTAATTGATGGACTTCGACTGTTGAGTTTATTCAAGAGCGGTTTCATTTGGGCCTTGTCCTTGTGGCATGATACTGCTCCATAAACAATTGTTCAAGATTCAATCCAACCCAATTCAATTTATTTTAATAAAAGCTAGTCATTTGACACACGTTCATGCATGTGCCAATGGATTTTTTTTTTATCTTTTATATTTTATTTTTAGAATTAAGAAAAGATAAATGGGTAGTTATATTCCATAAAAGTAGGACTTATTATCTTTCTTTTTTTTTTAATATGAAAAAATATGAATTTACCATACTATCTTCATTTAATTAATAATTTTAATTCTTAATGTTTGAATTAACCAAGGGTTTTTTTTCTCTGCCCTTTGCTTTATATATATATATATATATGAACAATTTTTTTTATCAAATAAAAACTTCATTAGATAAACTTCAACAGTACATCAAAGACTCAACAAAATATCTAAAATATCAATCACAATAGGGCAACAAATTAACATGCTAAAAGCAAAACTAAACAAAAGCCGTACTAAAACTAGCCCACATCACCACAATTAGTCATAAGCCCAAACGAAGCCCAGAAACCCAACATAACTAAAACCCTAAATCAACCCATGAGCCTAAACGAACCCTACCACCACCACCTGAAGAAGTGCCGTCACGGCCATACCTCTGTCAAAGATGATGTAGAATCAAATTAAAAGAACATGAGCGGCGTTAGGGAGCGGGTTTTTGGAGTAGGATTTGATCGAGAACATAGACTGAAAGGGGTGATGGGGAACTTCAATCTAATCATGGCTTAGAAAAAACCACCACAATGGGCTTTTTATTCAAAACACCCCAATGGACTTATTCACTAACCTAAAAGGAAAAGACGAAAAGAGAGGAGGAGGAGGAGGGGTAATGACGCTTCTTCCTCATCCCCTCTCTATGGAATTTTCCTTTATGACTCACAGAGGAAGAGAGCGGCTAGAGTTTGGGAGAGGGGCATTTGGTTTAGAACCGGACCTTTAACCTAACATAATCCTAATATGTTTTCCCACTACCAAAAAAAATAATATGAACAGTTGAAACAATTTATTGAAGTATGTCTAGTATACTTTAAAAGTAAAATACTTCTCTTCATAATTAAATTTTTTATTTCACATTTAATCTCTATTTAATTTTAAATGTTTGATTTGGAGAAAGTAAAATACTTCTCTTCATAATTAAATTTTTTATTTCACATTTAATCTCTATTTAATTTTAAATGTTTGATTTGGAGAAATGTGGACAAAACGAAGGACGTTGTAAGTAGTAGTTGGGACCACCAACTAGCCTTTGGTTTAGTGGTATTTTGTCTTCAATTGATTAGAGGAAGTCTAATGTTCTACTCACATGAATAGAGAGGACGATACCTAATTGTGGTGTAGTTTTATTGTGGGTGTATTGACTTCTTAGATGCGTTGTTGAATTTGAGCTTCAGCATTGTTGTAACCGCCTTTGTTGGTTGCACACTTTCCATCTATTTAACTTCCTGAGACAATATTTGCAATCAATTTGTTGAAATTCGTATATAATCACTGTGATCATCACTATTTAACTATTCTTCCTTCGTCAACAAGATATGGCACAACTCTGGTCTCGGCTGCTCACACCTCAAGGCACGATTGTTGATCACCAATATGCATAATGCTCATGAACTCACACATATATGAAAAGAAGATTATTTAATCACTCATGGAGGCTAACAAGGAACAGCCACATGAGTTTTCAATATGAACTCTCAAAAACCTCTCTACAAATATTTTGTCGTTCTTTCTCTTTTCAACATTGCAGACCACAAAATAAAACGGCTAAGTTCCTTTCTTGTATTACACGCTTAAAACTAGGTCAAAGACCAAAAAAGGCTTTTAGCAAAAATGGGTTTTTTAACAGATAAATTATTTCTTTAAAATAAATAAAGCCACTTAATTAAAAACCCAACCGTAAAGACAAAAGAACCTTTTTGCTTAAATAAGCACCAAACTAAAGAATATAAAACCATCGTTAAAAACTCACTGATGTCTGGCGCTGAATTATGTAATGCTGAAATCATATATCAGTCTTATAATATGACAGCCACTTTTGATGATCTTGCAAATATGCAATATGAATGCATGGATGCAAAACATACCTTGGCATTGTCTCTGAGCCACACTGATCCAGGATAGCAGAATGTCACTTGAAAACTGTAGGTTACACTCAAAGACCTACTCTATGTTTTTGTAACAGGAAATTGCCAATATACCAAAAATTGGTCCTAACAGAGTGTCTTCATAAACTAAGCTAATTTGCACAAACTTACTAGAAGACCAGCCAACATGTATTATATTTGAAAAAACCGAAATTGTTGACATGTGAGTCGAAATCTGGGTAGAGATCTCATATTCTTCTTTTTTAAGAAACCCTTGTTTATTTACCAAAAGAAAACCAATTCAAAAGCATGCTTATATATATATATATATATATATAAGTATTTTTGGGTTGAAAATGTGACTTAGTTTGAAATCGACTAGAGAATGGAAAAACTTTTGTTTGACGTTAACTAGCTACCAAAATTTCGAGGTGGAATGGAGTGCAAATTCAGTGCAATAAGAATGAGTTTGATTCTATGAGGTGTTTACATGTTATGGACTTTTTCTCATTCAAGTAAATTACAACTCACGTACTTGAGGAATGAATTAAAGAATCATGCTAGCAACAGTGGCCACACGCGCATATGACTTCCAGCTATTAAGAAGCCTATCAACTTAAATGTGTTCTTTCAACTTGAGATGATGCAGTGTGGTAACCTAGGTGCCATAAATTTTATAACTAAGATGAGTGTGATCGTTGGTCATGCACATTGATTTCTAACCGTAGATGCGTATGGACGCATGCACCAACAGCCCATATACGAACAATCCTAGCAATTTTCATCTCATAAATTGTTCAAAGAAAGTCCTTTAACCTGATCACAAGCACATCAATTTCGCTTATTGGTCATATCTCTATATGGTGTGACCGTGTGAATCTAATCTACCATTGTGTTTGCTTGTTTTGTTATGTAAGAAGTGAGCGCACAAACAGCAATTTCTTGATAAACAAAAGTTACATCAAGATTCGACCAAAAAAAAAGTTACATCAAGAATCAAGGCATGCCTGCTTGCAAAAGTTAGGCCATCTCACAGCTGTAGCTGCTTAAATTAATCAAAGATGACCCATAAGCAAGCATAACCCTGTTTCTGTGTTTGGGTTTCTCCTCATTCCAACTTCACCAATAACATGAAATATCGCACTCATATATACATTTTTGCTCCATCTGCAGCCTGCAGCAGTCTCTGTTTAACCCAAAACTAATACATCATTCAATATATTTGATAATGCAAGTCTGTCACACTAAGAGTAACCCAAAACAAATGAAGTTATCAGAGCATTCAGGGAAATGGGTGAATCCATGTTTACTGCATGACCTGTGTCCTTGATTATCTCCACCTTTGATTTTGGCCCCAACTGCCTGTAGATTGAAAAGAGAACATTAACAATAGGTTCAGATTGGTTTCAAATCCTGATTAAATTTGATCATGAAGATGAAATAATAAATTAGTTTAAAGTCACCTTTGCAGCTGATAGGCCAAGTACACAGGGAAGACATCATCCTTGTCTCCCCAAATTATCAGTGTTTCCTTCACACAAAAATAACATTCTTTTACAAGACTGAAGAGAAAGATTAATTATGCTAAGCTTTTAAATTATGGCTAAGTTAACTACCTGAGTTAGAATGGGAAGGTCTATATCTGCTTTTTTCCTCAGCAAGTGCTCTGCCAGCTCTAATTTCTCCTTCCTGTGTTGTTTATAGGTCACCTGCATATGCAGCATGCAAACCTCTATACAATTAGGAATTGATATCTTACAAATCCAGTGCTATTAGAATTAGTGTGACATATAAATGTTCACCGACCACACACATCAATTATTACGTTATTGACAATTTAACAATATAACATACTGTGTTATGCCGTGATGAATACCAATACCATTGAAGAATAAATAACTATAATCTACCATGTAAGGTGGTGTTCTAAAAATGGAGGAATTTTAGACTCACGTTGATGAACCCATGAAGGAAAATATCAGGGACCCACTTAGAAGGGCCAGGTTTGTGCATTGTCAGATTCACCAAGAGCCTCAGATCATGAGCACTTTCAGGTACGAGGAGATTCAATGCATTGCTTCCAACCTTATTGATCTGCTCTCTTTTCTGCTCCTCTGTCATCCCAACCCCACAACTCACAACCACAACTTTCTCCACCAACTCTGGATACATCTCAGCCAACCAATATGCCACATACCCTCCATAACTTATAGAGTAAACAGCAAATCTCTCCACCCCTAATCTCTTCAACCCTTCTGCCACACATTTTGCTTGGAAAACCTCTGTCCTTTCTAGCCTGTTGGTGTAGGATTTGCCAAAGAACAATAGATCAGGTATGTACAGATAGAAACTTTGAGAAAGTGAACCCACTTGATGGATGAATTGCCACTTTGAATTGCCACCATACCCATGAAGCATTACAAGAGCAGGCTTATTAGACCTCCTAGAATTTGCAACCCAAAAGTTCATTGTGGTTTGGTCATCTAATTCAACTGTGCAGGGACAAAGACCACATGATCTCAAGTATAGAGATAAAAGTGCATCCGCAAGTGTGATTAGGAGTGTGATTGGATTCAAATAAGGTAAAATGGAAATCAAGAATTGGGAAATGGCTATGATGGTTGCAAGGTAGAAGGAGAGGACATTATACAATTTTGGGTAGGCCATGGCCATATATGAGTGCTCTCTGTGTGATTGCTTTTCCTTTTTGGCTACTTACATTTGCTTATTGTGCTATGCTTCACGCATTCACCATACAAGACTTAAAAAGAGAATGAAAGACATCCCCCATTTGTGAGGTAGAGGACAATTGTATAACCCACTTGCATGTTCTTTTGGATGATGAAACCAATCTTGCCAACCCTAAAATGACAAAAAGGAAACAATGAGATTGCTCTGTAATTGTAAGGATATTAGGCTGGAGAGGGCGAATAACTGCAAGTCGTGTTAGTCTCGCACTTTTGCAGGAGTGAATTAAGTACATTCCTGCAAAAGTGACGGAGGTTGTTAGAGAGTACAAATAAAGTTTTTTTATTGAATTTTTATGTTCTCTTTTTTTAGACTCTCTTTAGATTTTTTTTAAGAGATGTCTCGTTACCCCGAAAGACAATTGGGAATCATATAAAACTGAAGATACCTCAACTAAGCTAATCACTTTTTTCTACTTAGTGACGCAAAAGTTGGCACTTTTCACACTAATTAAAAAGCATGTGTGACATATGGGCCCAAAAGAGTTGAGCCATTAAAGAATAGCACAACCAATAAGGTGCAGTAGGAATCTACAGGATCAGGGCATGGGAAAGCATCACTTTGTCTTCAAGATGGGCACTGACTTCCAAAAATATAAAATTCACAATCAGAAATGGACGTTATTGTCATAGATTTTAAAGAACTACATGTGCATATAAAAAAAATGCCTTTAAAATGTAGTGCACACAAGGCAACAAAATAAGATGCCAACTAGACATATGCAAGTAGATGGCAAAACATCATAACAGACATGGAGGATTAAATTAGGCAAGATCTTGGGATAAGCCCAATTCATTATCTATACTTAGCTTCAAATCTAAATAAACTTAAAGTAGAGTAGGGTATTGCACATTTCAACAGTTAATTAATTTGATTCAACATTCTACAACTGGAGTAGGGTATTGCACATTTCAAAAACCCAAAATAGAAAAAGGTCCAATGGCCAAAGCATTCAAGACCCTTTTCTGTTAGAATAACCCCTTTTCTGTTCAAAATAGCCCATTTACAAGAAAATTCTTGCAGATGGGGCTACCTCAGCTGATATTGTATTCTATTTTTGCTCATTGATACTTTACCTTTGCTTTGCCTGTGGAAGAGAAATCTAGATGTTAAGAAGAACAGCTCGTTTCCCAAAATAATGAACCACAGCTAGCATTTGCTTATTGTCATGTATGAACACACACTAAAAAAACACATCAAAAATACCTTACCTCCAAAGCTTCCAATCTTCTTTAACCTTTACCATCACTTTTAAACCCATCCAACCGTTATTTTCATAATTTAGTCTCCTCATCTTTCTCCTTTTTGCACTTTTTGGACGGCTGTCTATCACTTTTGTCATCCAAATACAATCATTCCAACCTAGATTCCTTAACCATGTCCTCCTTCTTGCTCTCTGTATTTATAAATCTCCAACCACATCTGTGTTTATATATAACTCATCATCAAGTTGGTTTTTCTCCAAGAAAAAGAAAAACCAAGCTTGAGTTTTTACTATTGAGCCCACCAATGGCTGCTACTAGTTATGCATACACAAGCCATAGCTCATCTCAAAGATCAACAGCCATGGTGCTGGCTCTAGTATCTGCAATTGTACTTTCACCATTATATGTGACAAACAGAAAAACTGATGCAAGGTATTATGAGACAAAATGGAGCTCTGGGTTTGTCCTTCCCATGGTTCTTGCTGGACTTATCATTGCCATTAAAACCACTTCTTCATCATCAAGTTCATCATCTTCATCATCTCAAGGAGATTCTTTTGTTCCTTCTCCTGAACCTTCATGGGTACTAAGAATTGGGAGCTCAAGCTGGGGGCTTGCTGGGGTTTTAGTACTGCTGATCAATGTTTTCATAGGCGAGGCGTATAGGCGAGGCGTTTTTAATAGCGCTATGCGAGGCGTAAGCCTTGAGGCATTGAGGCGTAAGCCTTTTGAACATTAAGTTATTTTAATATGAAAAATTTATGAATAATACAATACGATTAAATTGTACAACTAATTCTTATTCAACTATAACAATCTTTTAAATATAATCAAATATAAGTACTAATTGTCATTCAAAACATAATAATCAATCTCAAAACATAAAATATTTATAAAACAATACGATTAATATTTCTAAGATACAAGTGTGATGCATATACGTAAGAAAAAAAATAACTAGTATATTTAAAACATATTGAAAAAAAATTATACGAAACTTCAAATTATAGTTTATTACAGTCAAATTATACAAGTATGATGCATGTACGTAAAAAAAGAAGACTTACTTGCAATCGAAAGATGAAGAGAATTCTTGAAAATTGATGGAGTTATCTGGTAAGGATAGAAATTAGGGTTGTACACGTACTATACAATATATATATATATAGTCCATTTGTTAATGGGGGCGGATCCGTGGCACCATATTTTTGACACAAGTTTTGACACAATTTTTGGGCCATTAGATTACTCCACTTTTAATGGTTGAGATTAAATCTGACATGACAAATAGTTTTAATGTTTTAAATAAACAATCATTAATTTTATTTTCTCTCTCATAAAAATAAAATAAAATAAATTTCTCTCTCCTCCTTTTTTTTTGGAAACGTAATCTTTTTTTTTATACTATCCTTTTTTACTTGGGACTCTAATCTCTTCTTCTTTCTCACGCATACCCCTCTCTCTCTCTCTCTTTCCTGCGACCAAAAAAAACCTCCACCTCCATCTTTTTTCCTTGTAGGCTCAATTGCATTGAGAAGCCATGACATGACTAGAGGATTTGTGGAACTCCAGTCAGCCATCTTGGTCTCACTTGTATTGGGGATTAGAGTACTCAGTAAATTATAGACCACTTCAAATCTTCGCCTCTCTTCAGAGCTGTGAAGCAACTGAAACTGGATTCTATTCATAGTTTCCAGAGTTAGCTTCCTGTGAGTTAAAGTTTTATGATTTTGAGGTGATTTCAATTATGGGTACTTTCATTTTTGTTATTTATGTTGTTGTTTCATATTGGTTTTTGACGATTTTCATGCTAACTTTATATTTGCAAGGGACTATAAAGATATGCTGATTGAAGGTATGCTTTCTCTCAACACTATGACAGAGGATGGCAACATTGAGGAGGTAAGCTTTTCAACACTTGATAATATCTTAATAGATTATATGAGAGACTTAATATGCTATGCTTCTGGTAGAACTCAAAATTTATTGCTTGCTCCATATATTGTGTGACTCTTGTTGGCTGGCCTTGCCTCAACCCAATTCATACTGTCATATTATCTTTAATCGATTCTCTATCTGCCTATATTGATCTTTCAAGTTCTCAGCTCTTTGATTGAATCAGATGCTTGAATTTGAGATGTCAAAATAGGAAGATAATAATTATATTTTAAAATTAGTATGATAGTCTACTCCATTATATTTAATATTGCATTAACATATGTATTAATGTTTTTCTAAGTTGCATCGTTAAGAAAGATTAATATGTTCAATAGGTAGACCAGATAATTCAAGTGGAGAATGGTGAAAAAAGTACTCCAAAACAGAGAGTGGAACAATTAAAGCACCATATGTTGGGATGGTATTTGACACAATGGAAGAAGCAAGAAACTATTATGAAGAGTATGGCCGACAAGAGGGATTCTGGATCAGAACTCGATCTTCCTCCAAGACACGAAGGCGTTTAGATGAGGTAACGAGTAGACAATTTGTTTGTGCACATGAAGGGAAATACATGCCCAAAAATACGTCACATAAGGCTTCAGAAGGGAATGATGAGAGAGACGCAAGTGATATTGAGAATATGAAGAGAACGAGTAAAAATTGTTCTACAGTGAAATGTGGATGCAAAGCAAGTATGAGAATTAAGCTTGATAGATGGTCAAACAAATGGAAAGTTTCAAGTTTCCAAGACTCTCACAATCACAAGCCAGTTACACCGGAAAGAAGAATGAAAATGAAGTCAAATAAGGTTATGCCAAAAGTAGCTAAAATTCTGACTGAAACATTTCATGAAGAAAATTTGCCAATTGCAAAAGTTCCTTCAATCCTTGGTGGCCCGCATATTGGTTTTAACAATAGAGATTGTTATAACCACTTGAGAAATGTCCGACATAGACAATTGGATGGAGGTGATGCACAGTCAGTCCTTACTTACTTTAGGAAGAAGCAAGCTGAGAATCCTCAATTTTTTTATGCCATTCAATGTGATGAAAATGGAAGGGCTTCTAATTTCTTTTGGGTGGATGCTCGATCACGCTTGGCGTACCACTATTTTGGAGATGTAGTCACATTTGACACAACTTATAGGACAAACAAGTATGATATGCCATTTGCACCATTCACAGGAGTAAACCACCATTTGCAATCAATACAATTTGGATGTGCACTTTTACAAGATGAGACAGAGGTGACATTTTTGTGGTTGTTTGAGACATGGCTTGAAGCAATGGGAGGACGTCATCCAGTTTCCATTATTACTGATCAAGACTTGGCAATGAAATGAGCAATTGCCAAGATTTTTCCTAACACTCATCATCGGTTATGTCTCTGGCATATTAAGAAGAAGTTTGCAGAAAAATTGTCACATGTGTATTTCAAGAAGTCCAAATTCAAAATTCACATGAAGAAATGTATTCGGTCAACATACAAGATAGAGGAATTTGAAGAAAAGTGGAAGGAATTGATGAAAGAATATGCATTGGATAATGATGACTGGTTGAACAATTTATATGACATACGTTCTTCTTGGGTTCCTGTTTATAATCGTAGCATATTTTTTGCAGGAATGAACACTACTGGACGTAGTGAGGGTATTAATTCTTTTTTCGATGGATTCATTACACCGACAACAAATCTTAGAGAGTTTGTTGTCAAATATGACCAAGCATTGAAGAGAATCATGGATAGAGAAAGTGATGAAGATTTTGAATCAGAACACAAGTATCGCATTGTGAATGAAGGAGAATTCATTTTGAAACATGCTGCGAATTTGTATACTAGAAATGTTTTCAATAAGTTCAAGGATGAATGGAGTAAAGTTAATCTCTATAAAGTTGAAGAAATGCCATGTGACAACGAATATCATGCATACCTAGTGAAAACAAAACTTGGAGAGCATGAAGAGTTTGTGGTGAAGTTAAATTTGCAAACATATAAAGGTATGTGTGAATGCCAAAATTTTGAGTTCGTTGGAATACTTTGTCGACATTTATTGAAAGTATTTGTCCGCCTTGATATAGATACACTACCTGACCATTTTATTCTTCCAAGATGGAGACAAGAAGCAAACAAATTTAGGATAATCTTTGCGACTTAGCCATATGTGTCATCAAGCAACAAAGTTGGCTTGCATTGCAGCATCTTCAAATGAGGCATACACAACTTTCATGGAAGCTATAAAGGAATTGTCCAAGAAACTGTCAGAAAATTCTACTCATCATGCAACAATTCCTTCCTCAACAACAGGTGATCCATGTAGTACTAATATTGATTCCTCTCAATTGTTGCTTTTGGACCCCAATATCTCACAAACTAAGGGTAGAAAGAAGGATAATATTAGCGGTTCCAAAAGGATAAAAAGTGGAATTGAGTTGGCTCAAAACAAGAAGAAAAGAAAGTGTGCATTATGCAAAAAGATAGCACAACATGACAAAAGAAATTGTCCATCAAATCTGAAAAGAAGAAAGAATGAATCAACAAATCCATGTAAGTTTGTTCACTTTTTATTGTTGTTATTTCTAATAATAAGGTTAAAAAAGCTTATGTTTAACTTGATTATTATAAATCTAAATTCAGGCAATGAAGAGTTAGAAGACTTGTGCCAAGATATGGAGAGTGATGACCAAGAATATTGTTAATGGTGAGTTTTTTTTAATTTATAGCTTTGATCAATGAAGTATTTCACAGAATAAATTATCTGTTAAATAAGTATGGTTTGAATGAAAACAGAGGTTAAAGTTTTTAACTTGTCCCTTGTATGATTATTTTTTTCTTCCCAGCTCCAGAGTTTCAGTAGATATCAATGTTTCATACTTGAATTCTGCTTACTATGGTGAGGAGGTTGAAGTTGAGGCCAAGGCTTTACGAGTTGGGAAGGCTGTTGGTGTTGCCAGTGTTGAGTTAAGGAAGAAGAAGACATGCAAAATTATAGCTTAGGGTTGTCATACCAAGTATCTTACTCTTACTAGCAAACTCTGAACAGCTTGGAAGTTTAAATTTTCCTTAGACTTGTATGGAATATTAAGAAGCCTTTTTTGCTTAGACTTGTGTAAAATATTGAGAAGCTTTTTGGTGTTGTCTGTATTGAATTTAGGAAGAAGAAAACAGGGGAAACATTGTTGTCAACTGATGCTTCTCTCTACACTCAATTTCTTATGCTTCTGGCTTCTTAAAAACTTTAGTTGGTGCTTCTTTCATACCCTTGATTGCAGCAACCAAAGAGACTCCGCCAACAAGAAAGGCTGGAAATTTCTTGCAAATGGTGAACACAATAATGATGGATGCTCTGTTACAGGCTTACAGCAAAATAATAACACAACTCTCTTCAAAAGACCTTATAGAATGACTTGCTCTGTGTCAACTGTGCACTCTATTGATGAATATCCCAAAATAGAGTGATTTTTCAGCTCTCTAATTTCCTTCTCCATTTGTAAAAATGTGGCATGCCATGTGTTGGTTTAAATGCATTGGATCCGACACTTTCTTAAGTGTGAACTTTGAACCAACAATTCAGTGTTCCCATTTACAAATTTTGCTCATGGTTATAGTTCGAAGACACATACAAACAATGCTCAATAGCATCTCTCCTCGGACTAATACCAATTTGAAAAAGTTGTCAAAAACCATAAGATTCAATTGCTTAACTTATTGATCGTAACATGATACAATTGATTAATGAAAAAAAAATCTAAATCAAGAAAATTGAGTTGACTATTTGAGTCATAATTCATCAAAATTGTATTTGTCATCGTAATTCTACCCATTAAATCCGTCATTTGCAACATATGTCATCTTAGCCTTGTCTGGCTCTAACCTCTTCACTGTATCCATTACTGTCATGCTCAAACTCTTCATCACGACTTTTCTTCTCAGTTGACTGTTGCATATCACCATGACTGCCACATTTAGACTTTGTGCCTTCTTCAAATACAGGTGCATAACCCTGATTTTACATGCTATTCGATTTATTTGGCTTTTAGTTGCTTGTAGTCTGTGCATCAGTTAATGAGACCTTAGATGTTGACAGAACATAATATGGGATTTGCACAGCATGAATAAAGCAAGATTGATTCTGAAATAAGAGATATAAAAGATGCTTACAAGCTCTTCATTTAGTTTATCCAAAGCATCATACTTGGTTTTTGAACTCAACCTCTGCAAGAACAAAATGTCACATTAGCAATAGAATTCTCAATCACCAGCAACCAGAAATAGATATTTAAGCATATCATTGAGCATACACACTAAGCTAGCCTCCGAAACAATATTGAAAAATATCAAAATTTACAAGCATACTAGCTGAGAGCCAATAGAAGCTGAAGGAAACTATTAGTCCAATAACTGCAAGCATAAAATTTCTCAGCTTTGACCAGTTGAGTTTAAAAATGAAACATAAACTAATTCATGCCCCTTGCAAATATAAGGTTAGCATGAAAATCATCAAAAACCAATCCAAAACAACAGCATAAATAACAAAAATGAAAGTACCCATAATTGAAATCACATCAAAATCATAAAATTTAACTCACAGGAAGCTAACTCTGAGGGAAACTATGAACAGAATCCAGTGCCAGTTGCTTCACAGCTTTGAAATTTGAACATAACCCAGATTATAAAATCTGAAATCTTCACTGTTCAAATCCAGATCTCAATAAAATGGAATGATTCTCAACTCTGTAACGAGAGACAAGGCCGGCTGACGTTGATACCGCCCAGACGGATGTTGAACATGAAAGGCCTATTTTTTCTTGTTAGAGAGAGAGATGAGGAAAAAAGATGGAGGTGGAGGTTTTTTTTGGTCGCAGGAAAAAGAGAGAGAGATGAGGAAAAAAGATGGAGGTGGAGGTTTTTTTTGGTCGCAGGAAAGAGAGAGAGAGAGAGGGGTATGCGTGAGAAAGAAGAAGAGATTAGAGTCCCAAGTAAAAAAGGATAGTATAAAAAAAAAGATTACGTTTCCAAAAAAAAAGGAGGAGAGAGAAATTTATTTTATTTTATTTTTATGAGAGAGAAAATAAAATTAATGATTGTTTATTTAAAACATTAAAACTATTTGTCATGTCATATTTAATCTCAACCACTAAAAGTGGAATAATCTAATGGCCCAAAAATTGTGTCAAAACTTGTGTCAAAAATATGGTGTCACGGATCCGCCCCCTTTGTTAATATATTAAAGAAAGAAAAAAAAAAAAAAAGATATAAAGATACAAGCTTGGAGTTAGGAAAGAAAAAGAAAGATATTAAAGATATTAAAAGAGAAAAAAAAAAAAAAAAAAGTAAGTACAAAGCTACAGCCGATTGGGGTTAGGAAAGAAAAAGAAATATATTAAATATATTAATTCTTCCCTATTACAATTAAGGTAAGGAAAACAAAAAGCTGTTTTTTTTATTTAAAACACTCCAAGTGAAACGACGTCGTTTCACTATAAGATTGTTTTTAAAACTCTGCAACCAAAACGACGTCGTTTCGTTACAAACCTAAATATTAAAAAAACCAGTCGTCTTCCTCCCGAGTTCATCTTCCTCAACGAAAATTTGCAGACTTTCAATTTCTTCCGTTTCAGAAGATTCTAGATCTGCAACGCCTCCTCACGCCTCGCTCCGCCTGGACACGCCTTGCAACGCCTCTTCACGCCTTCCCGGCGCTAAACGTGCAGATCGCGAAACAGCCGGACGCCTCGGGCGTTTTCCTCCCACCTCGCCCCGACGCACGCTCCGACGCGCGCGAAGGCATGCCTTTGAAAACACTGCTGCTGATGCTTGTGCTTTCATGGCAAGGTTCTGTTCATGAATTCTTGTGGAGATAGAAATTAAGTCCAATTCTATTTTCACTTTAATGGATTGTACTGGAAAGTTATATTATATCAAATAATGCAAGTGGTATTAGTTAATGGAGATTTTTCTGCTTCATTCAAAATGTGGGTATTGCAATTCTCTGTGAAAAAAGTGCACAAACTGAATAATTAGCTGCAGTTATACTTCTAATACTTTTAGCTCAATAAACTTGTAGCTCAACGATGTCTTCAATTTTCCTTCTCCAAGGCGAGAAATTTTTATATGTTCCGGGTACACTATTTATTCGGTATACGCTCCAATACCGCTTTTGAAATCATTTTTATATATAATTAAAAAAATTATTAATAAAACCCAAAACCATTCAAAGTTCACATTGTTCGAAACTGTAAAACTAAATTAAAATACAAGGGTATATTCCATTGCCCCCAAACAAAAATAAATTATAAAATATTTATATAAAAAAATCGAAGTTGGGCCTCATTCGTACTTTGAATGGAGGACATGCTAAGCCCAATAAGTATTAATAGTCTTCCATTGTCCACAATTACCCAAACTCTCTCTCTCTCTCTCTCTCTCGCCTCTCCAGCGCACCCATCAGCAAAGCCCTAGTTTCAGTTTTATTCACTCATCACTGTGTCTCAAGCAAATCTCAAGTCACAGAAGCCTCGCTATCTCTAATTTGACGGCCATACAAAATCAGGTGAGCTACCTACTTTCGTTCCCTGCTGATTGTGCCTCTCTCTCCATTTTGAAATCCTTTGATTTTGGTAAATTTTATTTTGGATTTAGTACTTAGGACTTCCACTGAAGAAATTTGACATAAAATCCAGTACACCAATAGATAAATTCTGTTTTTTTACTGAGCAGAATGGTTTTTGTGTTCTGGAAATAATCATATGATATAGGTTTGAAAACTTTCTCTTGTTCGATGGACACAATTATAATATAAAATTCAACCTTTGCCAATTTGTGGAGGTACTGATGTGAAAATTTCCAATAAGCAGGGAAGATTGATTTGTGCCGTGAACCGAAATTTGGTGCTTTTTCTTTTTATGGAACCCTTTTTGTATCTTGATAAAATTGACTCTGGTTGTGTTTCCGTTTCATTTTTGGTGCTACAATATTTAACTTGCAGTGGTAGTAGCCTCTTTCATTGTTCTATTTTCTGTTCATTGCTTATTTGCCTCAAAGTTTTGTATATTCGTCAATTACTGCCTCAAATTTGTGCTAGTTTGCTGTTCTAATTGTGTTATTTTGCTCCTCAAAATATGTATTTCTGATACTGCTCTATGTCCAGGCTATTCTTGCTACAGTTTCTATTGTCCTTGGAGTAACAGAATTGTTTGATATATAAATTGCAAAATATGTTTTGTTTTTTGGTCAAAGAGATGCTTTAAATAAAGAGAAACAAACATAAAGTCTCCAGGAATGAGGGAACAACACCTCCACTCAACCGGATAACAACAAGGCAAAGAGAAATAGAACTAACAAAGAAAAACTTAGTTAGAAGGTCATCCACTAAGATGTCACCAACCTCTAACTAGGAACTAGGAGGGGAGGGAAGCCCATCCGCATGCAGAACAAAGACCAAGGAAGATGGGGGTCTATGTAGCCACATCCTCCGTCTCACACTCCCCAAAATTGAATCGGCTACACCATCACACCTACGAGGGATCCAGTTGCAAAATATGTTTATAACACGTGTTCCCATGAAATTAGATTTAACTCTCTCAATATCTATCAATATCTATCACTATTCTGAATTTGGTGTTCATGCAGATAACTCAAAAACCCCGGGCATAGAGGTTTTCACATACATCTATCAACGTTGAAAACTTCTATATCATTGACGTAATGAACCTTCATATTGCGCAGGAAGCGAATGAGGTCAGTCACTTTCCAAAGATAACTAACAGATGAGAACTCATCTACTAGCTCAAATATTGTATGGCAATTGATACGGCTATGACAACCCTGAAAATGTTTGAATTGCTACTTCCATATCTGCCTTTGTTTAGAGGACTTAGAGATATATTTTTTGAAGACCCTAAAATTTGCCAGAGTTTTATTCATGTTATCCTTCCCAGCACAAGCTTGAGAGTTGGGTATTGCTTTGAGGTTTACAAAGCTTATGAAAAGAAAACTCTGGCAAATTTTAGGGACTTTGAAAAATATATCTCTAACCCCTCTAAACAAAGTCAGATATGGAAGTAGCAATTCAAATATTTTCAAGGTTGACGTAGTCGTATCAATTGTCATACAATATTTGAGCAAGTAGATGAGTTATCGTCTAGTAGTTATCTTTGGAAAGTGACTCACCTCCTTCGCTTCCTGCGCAATTTGAAGGTTCATTACGTCAGTGATATAGAAGTTTTCAACGTTGATAGATGTATGTGAAAACCTCTATGCCCGGGGTTTTTGAGTTATCTGCATGAACACCAAATTCAGAATAGTGATAGAATATGATAGATATTGAGAGAGTTAAATCTAATTTCATGGGAACATGTGTTATAAACATATTTTGCAACTGGATCCCTCGTAGGTGTGATGGTGTAGCCGATTCAATTTTGGGGAGTGTGAGACGGAGGATGTGGCTACATAGACCCCCATCTTCCTTGGTCTTTGTTCTGCATGCGGATGGGCTTCCCTCCCCTCCTAGTTCCTAGTTAGAGGTTGGTGACATCTTAGTGGATGACCTTCTAACTAAGTTTTTCTTTGTTAGTTCTATTTCTCTTTGACTTGTTGTTATCCGGTTGAGTGGAGGTGTTGTTCCCTCATTCCTGGAGACTTTATGTTTGTTTCTCTTTATTTAAAGCATCTCTTTGACCAAAAAACAAAACATATTTTGCAATTTATATATCAAACAATTCATGGGTTCATATACAAACTCTCTTTCCATTTCCTCTTTCTTCTCCCGCGCACCCGTGCAAAGCCCTAGTTTCAGTTTTATTCACTTATCACTGCTGTGTGTCTCAAGCAAATCCCAAGTCACAGAAGCCTCGATATCTCTAATTGGACGGCATCAGGTGAGTTACCTACTTTCGTTCCCTGCTGATTGTGCCTCTCTCTCCATTTTGAAATTCTTTGATTTTGGTAAATTTTATTTTGGATTTAGTACTTAGGAGTTTCACTGAAGAAAGTTGACATAAAATCCAGTACACCAATAGATAAATTCTGCTTTGTTACCGAGCAGAATGGTTTTTGTGTTCTGGAAATAATCATATGATATAGGTTTGAAAACTTTCTCTTGTTCGATGGACACAATTGTAATATAAAATTCAACCTTTCCGTGTGCAAATTTGTGGAGGTACTGATGTGAAAATTCCCAATAAGCAGGGAAGATTGTTTTGCGCCGTGAACCAAAATTTGGTGCTTTTTTTTAATGGAACCCTTTTTATATAAAATTGACTCTGGTTGTGTTTCCTTTTCATTTTTGGTGCTACAATTTTTAACTTGCAGTGGTAGCAGCCTCTTTCATTGTTCTATTTTCTGTACACTGCTTATTTGCCTCAAGTTTTGTATATTCATCAATTACTGCCTCAAATCTGTGCTAGTTTGCTGTTCTAATTGTGTTATTTTGCTCCTCGAAATACGTATTTCTGATACTGCTCTATGTCCAGGCTATTCTTGCTACAGTTTCTATTGTCCTTGGAGTAACAGAGCTGTGTAGCTTGCTGATTGTCCAGATTGTTGAAAGAAAAAGAAATGTAGTAGTTTAGAGGTTTAGCCCATCCCAGCTGCTCTGGCCCTGCCTCCCTGCCTAGCAGAAGTACCCAGAACCATAAAATGGCAGGGGAAGATGAGGACTTGCCCAGAGATGCAAAGATAGTGAAAACACTGTTAAAATCAATGGGTGTGGAGGAATATGAGCCTTGTGTTGTTCACCAATTCTTGGAGCTGTGGTATTGATACGTGGTTGATGTGCTAACTGATGCACAGGTCTACTCAGAACATGCTGGTAAGCCCGCAATTGATTGTGACGATGTCAAGCTTACTATTCAGTCCAAGGTTAATTTCAGCTTCTCACAGCCCCCTCCAAGAAAGGTAATATATTTCACTTCCTTCCATTTCTTCTGCTAAATTTGAGTTCATATAACAAAATTGTATAACACCATGCGTCAAAAAAATGTACCTTTTCATTATGAAATCAATCAGCTTATGTGTGTTATTCGACCATTATGGTACAAATTTTGAAATTGTTAAGCAAACCCATCATCAGGTGCTACTGGAATTGGCTAGAAATTATATATATACTAAAACTGAGTTCACGAATTCACTGTTCCTAGACTGTAGCTTAGGAATAGTGAATTGCCGATATTGCCCTTTATTAAATTTTCCCTTATGTTCCCTTTTTGCCCCTTCCCATTCGTGTCTCTTTCGATTCGAACGTTTCGTTTGCTCTCAGCTTTCCAGTCCGTTTCGAACCAGTTGGTTGGGCTGGTTGGGGGCAGCCATGGAAGATCAGAGTTCACTGTTCTGCATGCGTGGGGGGCCGTCGATTTTCGTTTGGGGAGGCGCGCTGCAAATCCAGCCGCCCTTTTGGTCTTTATCTTATCGGTTCTCCTCTCAGATGTTGTGTTCGTGTGTTGCTGTTCCAGATGCGCTTCATCCTTCTTCTCATCGCACGGGTTTAGCTCAAAGGATTTCTGGTTTTCTAGGTTGGTTTATTCATTTGTCATGTCGAAAAATTGAGAAGTAAATCAGAAATTGTGTTTGGTTTGTTTTTACAGGGAGGAAGATCTAAGGAAAAAGAACTGGAGTAATCAATATGAGAACCCCCAGTCTGCTCATCAATCTGGTAATTGATGTCTGTGTGGCTGATATTCTGTTTGCGTGTGGTTATAGACTCCTTTTTTTTAAAAAAATTTATTTTTTATTTTTATGACTCCAGATCAGAATTATAATTCTAATAGATGTTATAGATTTTCTGTTTGCGTGTGGTTATAGAATTTCTGTGTGGCTGATTTTTTTATTTTTTATTTCTTTCTGTTTGTACTTATCTTGATTGTTTTCCGATGAATTGTTTCAGCAAAGATCAGTTCAACAGTACTCTGATATATATATTTTGATGTTCAACTACGAGTTTGTCATACATATGTGTGTTTAATGTCATGAAGAGGTCTTTGCAAGTAAGACTTTGTACTTATTTGTTGAATGTTATGTTTCTTTTCTCGCTTGGCCTCTCCGATATCACTCTTTCCTCCATCACATCATTTCCTTTAGTTGTTAAATTTTCTGCTTTTAGTGAATTTGAGGGGTATAAAAGGAAGTGGAGGGAATTGGGTTCGGTTGTGTGAGTGAAATTATGCATCTTTGTGTGTTATTTCAGTCCAAGTTTGTACCTTTGTATATATGAGTGTGTTGTTCTGTTTTGATAAATGGGAAGGCAGCTGTGATTGGGTTTCTATTGTTGTTAGATTTTGAAATTTTGACTGGTAAAGGCATTCTCAAGGGAACTGACTTTTTGGACTATATTTGCTCTGTTTCAAATGCTTTGCAGTAAATCTTTCTCTGAAATGAACCAAAAATTATATACACTACTTAACCCAAGCAAACAAAAGTGGGTGTTTTCATGAGTCATAATATATATATATATATAATTAATTTGATGTTAAAGCTCCTTCAATTTGTCATTTTGGATATCTATATAAGTGCATATGTTTGTAAATCTTTTGAGAAGTAGATCATTTTAGATCCTTCTTAGGTTTTGCACTTCCTCTGTCTAAAGCACCTGTAATTTATAATACAATTTACATCAGAGCATATGCTTTGTAATTGAATCATGAGAGCATTGTTGAATGAGGGGATCCGTACAGAGTGGTTTCTTTCTGTACAGATTTTGCTCTAGCTAATTTTTTTGGTTTAATGAAAAGATTGTGCATGTATAAATACTCAAACTAATTTCATCTCCGATTTTTCTGTTTTTTTCTTCCTTTTTCTTCTTCTTTTTTTAAACCATGTTTTCTTTTGATATTTTGCAGGTGGTCTTTTGTTGCTTTGGATAGAGCAGTTTGGTTGGTGTTTTCAATTCTGTTAAGCAAGGGGTGAGTTTCTAGGCTAAATTCCAATTAATTGTTTTAAGGTTTGTGAATAGAGCATAGGAATTAGCTAATGGCATCAATTGACAATTGGTTGGTGTTAATTTGTTGTTGTAATGATGGGTTTAGATGATTACAATATCTGAACATGTTGGTAAATCCTTTGAGTGTTTTGGCAATTGGGTACTTGAGAACTCCCAACATGAGGAGAGAGTGACAATGCGTAATTGATTGGAGGGAAAAACATCGTGTCTTTCTCTTTGTGTGTAGGTGGGTCAGTGGGGAATCAATCACTGGCCCTGTGTTCTGAAGCAGCGTTTATGAGACGCTCTCATTTTTTTGCTTGCAAATTGCAATTTGTTGGTATTTAAAGTAGTGGAAAATTTTCAAAACATTTCAAAGTGGTCCTAACTCTGATTTTCTGTTGTTTTTTGGTTTTTGAATTTGTTTGTTTATTTTGTTTTTGTGGAATTTTTTATTCAATACTCTCTCTCTCTCTCTCTCAAGGAAAGCAAAACTTGAAAAAGCTTTTCTGATCAGTAGAGTAAAAATAATACTTAGAAGTGAAGAATCACTTTATCTCTTAATTACTAGGACAACAAAACTTGAAAACGCTCTTTTAATCCAATAATATACTTACAAAGGTTAGAACCAAAGAATCACTTTATAATACTTCAATTGATCTGCTACATTTATTGGATTCCTGAGTATTTCTTTTTTCTTTTTTTTTATCAACTTTCATATCATATTAGTACATCCACCACACAGACACATCTTTCATGCTCTATTTTTCGTTTGTCTTGCTTCTAAAAAGTTAATTATTAATTTTCCTTGAACATGGTTTTCTTTAAAAAAAAAAAAAAAAAAAAAAAAAAAAAAAAAAAAAAAGAGGGAAAAAGAGAAAATGAATGATCTATCTACTATGATGAAAAAAACAACAAGCCTGGTTTTGCCTTTCGTTGGAATTGTTGGGGGATGGGAGATATTTTTTTATTGGCTCTTTCTCCCATGAGAGCTTCACTGTTGAAGCTTGATCTGGCTTTCTTGCGGCTGTTGATTTCGTTTGTGGCTGCTATGGTGCGAATTGGTTCGTCCATTTGGTCTTCTTCTTCATCAGATAATCTTCTTTTTATTTGTTCGCCTTTTTGTCTCATATCATCTTCTTCCTCTTCTTTTGTTTGTGCCTGTGCTGGTATTTGTTGGGTTTCCTTCTTCAATTTTTCAGATGTCTTTCTTTTTCTCTTCTTCTTTTTTAAGCACGTCTTCTTTTGATGTTTTGTAGGTAGTCTTTCGATCGACGGTTCGAATGCCTCACCCGTTGTATCTCCCGATCGCTCCTCCTCGAGATTCAACGACAGCCATCCGACGATGACATGATCAATCGTCTGGGACCTACGGTCTTTCTGAGGATCTCAATCAAAAAATTATTAAGCAGGCAAGATCTCTCTCTCTCTACTTGAGCATGTGGATAATGAACCCTAGGAGCTTAATATCTGTTTGCATCTAAAAGGAAATATGATTTAACACTGTATAAAATATGTAGAAACCTACTTACCCTCTGTTTGCTAAGAAAATGCAAGAAAAAAACAGAAAATTTCGTCTTTTTAAACATTTTACTGTTGTTTTGTGGGTAGGAGTTCAATAATTATGCTTATAAGAGCGTTTGAGGTCACCCACTTAATAACATTATACATTTTATTGAAATCACTTGGGTTTCTGTGGAAACCCAAGGACATAAAGGCAAAAGTTTGAGTCTTTGTTCTATAATTATCTTGAATTGAAAATTCTGTGCCTTTCTTCTTTCTTGCATTTGCTTGGAATTACGATGAAAATTTCCTTTCATTGTTTTTTGGTTGTTGAAGGGTTTGAGCATGAGGAAAAAGGTGATTTTGCAGCCTCACCAAAGCATTTCAGGTAAGAACCATATCCTTGAATTGCCCTTTTGGACCAAAAGTAAGCCTTTTGTGTGACGGCTTATCATATGATTGGGTTCTATGTTTGAGCTTATGGATTGGTTCATGGTGGATTTGAATTGGCACGCAGAGTTGCTTGGGTGAAGCTGATGACTTTGTGCATTGCAGGACTACAACAAAATGGTGCAACTACATCTATTCGTGGACTTTGAAATAGAAACAAGGTTTGCATCTTTTAATCACCTCCACTGTATTTCAATTTCTTTCCCTTTTATTAATTTTGATTGTATTTCTCCGCTGTGATGGGATTGAACATGCTTTTGAACTGGTAATGGCAGGTGACTGTTTGTGCGTGAATAAAGGCTTGCCATTGCCCTTGGTGCTGATGTGGGACAGAGCCAGTGTATATGTACAGAAGTTGCGGTATACAATGTTCTCTCTCCCTCTCTTTAATTTCAGTTTTTTTTTCTTTTAATAGAATTTCGTCAAATATTTTGGTTCTGGATTTTTTGTGTTGAAGAAATTTACAATAAAGGTATTTTATGACGTTCTGTGTTTGTAAATATCTTTTGTAGAACAACAGAGAATGTTGACCGACCTTACAAGAAAAAACGAAGTAGGGTTGTGCGTTTGGACTAGCAAAGAGGTTTGTCAATCGTCCTCTCATCCTCAATTTTTTTTTTCAATTAGTCGATTACATCTCAGCCTTAAATTCACTGTTTTTTTTTATTTCTGTTTAATTTAATGAGACAATTTCTGTTACAGAATTCTAAATTATGCACTTCTTTTTCCATGTTAGGGTACTGGGATGCTAGGGGTTTCTTTTTATTCTCTTTTCCACTGCATATTATAACTTAGATGGGTATGCTTCAAGAAGGTTAGTTTTATTCTTGAAGAATACCCATTTGGTTTTAGACGTAGTTTATTTAGTTAAATATATGGCTACTGGTGAAATGGATTAGCCAAATATTGCATATGTAATATGCAAACAAATTCTTAGTATTGTTGCAAACAGTCAGTTTAAGTGAAGGATTGTTGTATGAAATTTGGTAAACAAATATCTCGAAATTATCTTCACAGTTTCTTAGGTTCCATTTAATTTGGTATTTATTTTTGTGTGATATATTTCTCTTAGGGCGTGTCAAATGGTAAAGCTGCAATTAACGGCGCTTTTTTTGTGGTTGCAGTTCCACCAGTACCAGGTTGTTGGGAGGAAGCTCCCTACGGCATCTATTGAGCACCCTAAGATTTACCGAATGAAGCTCTGGGCCACCAATGAGGTTCGCGCCAAGTCCAAATTCTGGTATAATCCTTAACCCTAGCTCAGCTTTTGTGATCCCAAATGTTCATTGGTGAATTTGGTTAAACTTAATATAGTTGATTGATTTGTTTGGATTAGGTATTTCCTTAGGAAGCTGAAGAAGGTCAAGAAGAGCAATGGCCAAGTGCTTGCCATTAATTAGGTTTGTTCTCTCTGCTGTTTATACTCTATTTTTTCTTATTAATAAATTTATACCCATTTTGATTATTTGTCAGTGTCTAATGTAGTCAATGTTGTTTTGTAGTGGGGAAGTGGTTCCTCCTCAACTCTCCTCCTGGCTTAATCCAATTTGTTGCCAAAGGTCTCCGCCTTTGACCCACTCTTTTATCACATTTATTTTGCTTTTTTCTAATTTTGTTTTGATCATTTGAATCGTATTTTGTATTTGATGTTTGGCTTTGGTGGCAAATGTGAAGGAGGCTGCGTCAGAGGCATCCCCTTGAAATGACCAGTTGATTTGGAGACGTATATTTTCTTTTCTTTTTTTCCTTCATAATTGAAGCCTCCACTTTGCTGAATAAAGGCTCCTCTTGGCTTTAGTGTTTCGTTTCAATGAATTTTGGGCTCTCACATGTCTGCGAAATTGCTAACCTTTTTTCCTATAGAGATGTTCAAAGTTTGAACACTACGTCCATTATTTGAATTCTAATACTGAATTTTAATTCTTCTCTCTTTTTAAGAACACTACCTCTATTATTTGGAATTGATTAAGATTATTTTTTGTGCCTGTATTTTGGCTAATTTTTTCTTTGGGAGTATTATGAAAACCTATCAGCATATCCACACCTTCTTCTACACCCTATTTCTCTGCACATTCCTCTCGAAAACTTAAATGCTTTATGCTCCACTGTAGCCTTTTGTAGTTTTCTCTGCTTTCACTTGGTTCCATTTTAAGTTTTTATTTTTTATTTTTTATTTTTTATTTTTATTTTTTTAAATCTTTATTGTAAATTTGTTATTTTAAATCCTTAATTTTAGGATTAGTTATGGTTTATTTTTATACCTTATAATGAATTGAGATGTGGACAATGAATGTGTTTCTTCCTTCATAGTTGTGCTTAAAATAATATTTCTCTTGATATCTTTTCTTTCGTATATAGGTGACATGAAGAAGAAACAGGGAAGGAAATCTCATATGTAATGGGTATTTTATGTTGGAGGTTAGGTTTATTTTATGATTTTTTATGTTAGATTTCATACTGAATCAATTTGAAAGGTTCCCCTGAAGACTATATGAATTTCTTTTAAGTTTTTATGGTTATAAGTTATAACACATTAAATTTATTTTTCTTATCAGTTCTTTCAACTTTATTTTGCTAATTCAGTGAGAGGAGTTGTCAAAGATGGCATCAAAGCTTAGCAAATCTATGCTTGATGGGGTTGAAATTACGATTTGATCAGTGATAGGACTTTTGGTTAAATCCCAAGCAGGAAATGCATTCTTTGCCATAGTTCCCGGACAGGTCCTCTTGGCTTCCCTTGATGCTATCAGTAAGTTAATTAGGGTTCTATAACCTATAGGTGTTTATAGGTTATTTCTGCTTTTATAGCTTACTTCTCTATTAGATCAACATAGCCTATAAATGGCAATACATGTATCAGTTTTGACCTTAGGTGTCTATAGATCATCTATTCTTTTGTACAACAAACTTGCACATGGTTTGATTTTGTTATGGGTATTTGGTTTGATTCTATTAAAGTCTGGGTCTTTTGGTTTCATTGTGGCAATGACAGGTTATACTTTTGTCTGCCACATTTGTAGAATGCTTGGCGTATTAAAATTGTGGTTTGTGCAGTTGATTTTTTGGCCTTAATTCTGTAATAATAGCCATTGTCTTCACTAAATTTTCCTATTTGTCTACACCAACACCTCTACCAGTTTCCAAATTTGTAGCAACAGATTAAACACCCATTGATTTGATGCTATTAAAGCTTGAGTGTTTTGGCTTAATTCTCTCATACCTATTTAATAAATTGTCACAATTGTTCTAAGTTTGTTATCAATTGATTAAATAGACTGCAGTTATGCTTTTGTCCATCATATTAATAGAATGGTTGATGTACCTAAACTGTTGTTTGTCCTGTTGGATTTTGTAACTTAATTTTGTGATATGGTAGTTGGTCTTCGCTTAAATTTTTCCATTTATCTACACTAACACCTGCCATTTTCCAAATTTGTACCAACAGAGTTAAAACCCCTGCAAAGGACAAGAAAGAACAGAAGCCACCTCTGTAGCAAAGCCATCAAGAGAAAGATCCCCTTCCAACATACATCAAGGCAGAAAATCCCCTTCCACCACCCAGTAGCATATATATGTAAAGACCTGTCCAAACTCTTTTGAACAATGAACATCTTAAAACTGCTGATATTTTGATGCTATTATGATGTTTTAATTGCTGCTTGGTTTATTAAAATATGGTCAATATTTTAACATGACAAGCAGCATATAAAACGTGTTATTAGTCTATTTTTTGTAACATAAACTTGCCAAATAAGGCATGATGCCACTATTTAGATCTCCATGTCTATATAAATAGTACCATCTTTCATATATTTTTTCATGATTTTGTATACATTTCACACGGTTTTAAAACCCGCAGCATCGCGCGGGTACCTTTGCTAGTAGGAACAAAATCCCATTACCAAAATCAATTGCAGGGCCGGGTGTGGCATTGCTGCCTGAACAGGACACATTGATCAGCCCAAACTATCAACTGGCAATCCCAAAGAAACAATCTGCTCAAGCAGTGGAAGAAATGGAGGAAGATGAGGAACCTGCTGAACCCAATCCGCCCCAGGAACAGAAGCCTATCCTTTCCCCTTGCTAAAGGCACCAAGTGAGAGATTACATGGTACATCAATCAGCCTATGGGATTATAGTCCAGAGATGTGAGATGAAACAGTTGTTCACTTACTAAAGATTCTGACTCGTATTGGATCTGTGTACTTGTAAAAGAATGTTCTGTTTAAATATTATGTTGTTTACTTCTTCTGTCTTGTTCTTTCACAATTATTTGAATGCTTACGCCATATGTTTTTGATAGTATTTTGAATGATTAATTGATTATGTGAAGAGAATATGAAGCTTTTGTTTTCCCCCCTTTCTACAAGTCAGGCTCAGGAAAACTTATAAATGAACATCATGAAAGATTTTGTATGTTTTCTCCATGAGTTTCAGTCATCCGACAAATACAGCAACTTATTAGAAGCATGCATTAAGCATAATGGAACCAATAAGATATACTCGGGTTTCGAAGCCCAAAAGGCTCCACACGTGTCTCAGCCCATCACACAAGGCGATAAATACTCCGAGCGCTCAGAGGTTACCTATGTCGTTGGATCATTGTAGTGGCCACAATGAAGCTAAATGCAGGTAAATGCGTGGACTTTAAATGCAAAGGCTCGAGATCCATCTTTGTCACCCCAAATTATTAGTGTTTCCTTCACACAAACGTACCCTCATTTAGACCTGAGTAAGAATAGGAAGGTTTGAATCTGCTTTTTTGGCCACCAAGTGTTGGAGTAGCTCCATTTTCTCCTTTCTGTGTTCCTTATTATCCTAAAAGTGTCCACAAATTTATCCTAATGAACTAAAAATTATTATAACACACACGTTCAACATATTACGTGTCATGATTTTCTTAATGCAAATATAAATTCTCACATACATCAATGATTAACAATACTGAAGGGTTCAAATCCAGTATTTTGGCCACCAACTGCTCTAGTTACTCCAATTTCTCCTTTATCTGTTCCTCTTCTTTAATTTAAGCGGTTCTTGCTTCCACACACTTTCCATCTATTTGTTGAAATTCATCACTGATCATTGTACTAATGTCCCTTGTCCACCACTCAGTCATTGACAACAAAAATTAGGGTTAAACAAAATCAAAGGAGGCACAGCTCAACTCTTGGAAGACATAAAAGAGAAAGGATAAAAGAAGTTGAAATGGATTTCATTGGTCAAAATGTTTTCCAGGCTTCAACTTTAACCAACAGGACTTTCAATGTCTATTTTGAATAAGAAATGACTGGAAAGCAATACTAAGTCACAAAATTCATAGCTCAAAAAGAAGACTCTCACAATTGGAAACACATAAATACACAACTGAACCGCATTGAACTGAGAATCTGTGGGTTCATTTGATTTTTTTTTCTGGGAGGAAGAAGTGATCCGCCATACTTTCCCTTTGAGTCCCTTTGCGTCCTTTCCCTGGCGCCTTGTTTCTTCTTCTTCTCTTTGGTGTTCACTATTCCAGCAATCTATGAGTCACAAAATAATCAAACATATTGAAACAATTTATAGAAAGACACACATGGAGAAAGGAAGGAAGCAAGCAAGCAAGAAACTTACGGCGTGAAGCTGAAATTGACCTGAACATGCCAACCACCATGGATGTACACATCACGAATAGTTGAATGCAAGATCTCAATGTTGCTACTTCCTCCACTTCCAACAATGATTCGGAACGTGGTGATCCACAAAGGCTGACGATCAATCCTCTTGTAGTCGTAGGCAGTCTGGACAAGACAAAAATCCCAGCCACCCAAATGAACCAAATACTCTGTCTGAACACCAATATCCATGTTCGCAAGATGCATTCTTTTAAACCTCGGAAACACCAACTTTGGGGTTAAAGAATAGGCTTCACAATCAAAGGAAAATTCAAGAACCACTCCAAATGAATATGATGAAGCATACATCCGATCGCCCAAAACCACCGCCCTCCCTCGGAAAGGAAAATGCGAACAGGCCATGCGATGAGATTTCTCGACTTTGACATGAACCCATTTCTGAGTTCTTACATGAAAGGCAAGGAATTCATATCCTGGGCCGCATGTCAACGAGAGCAAAATATGGTGGTTGTAAACAGCATAACCGACTATCTCCACTCCTTGATCAGAAATAACAGAGGGAACAGGTGGAAGAAACTCCCAACTGTCATTCAGAGGATCGTACCGCTCAAACACTGATTCTGGGTCATTTGGTTCATGCGGAGAGGTTACAGGGATTGCAAGATGATATAACTTTTCATATGCAGAAATCACATTTCCAAGTGGCTTGGGTACTCTGGGGCCCTGGAAGGTAGAGAATGACTTGTTCTGTATGTCGAATACATATCCCTTCAAGGAGTCCGGTGTCATGACAGAGTGGGGAGGATTAGCTAGCATGCCCTCTCTGAACAACAAATACAACTTGGAGCCACCAAATAAGTCTGTAGCATCACAGAGACAACTGTCCGGGATGGAGTAAGTATTCTTGTTGAAGAAGGTAGTTACAGGACGCAGTGGGGCTTGATCTTTGCCATATTCATCTCCAATTGCTCCTCGTACTCCCCCCATAATTTGTCCAGATCCTTTTTGGATTTTAACTTCATATATCTCACCATGATATCGACTTGAATAAGATGTCACCAATACAAGCAGAGATTTATAATCACCCCCCTCCATGTACGCAAGCTGGAAACCACTAAGCACCTCGAGAGACTGAAACAAAGTGTTTAATTATTTAGCACAACCCATGCATATCTGATTGAAAGCCCAATCTAATGCGAAGAAAGACAGTAGTTTAATTCATCAAGCTAAATAAACATATTTTGCAATTATACCAAACCCTAAATTCAACGAGAGAGAGAGAGAGAGAGAGAGAGAGAGAGAGAGAGAGAGAGAGAGATTTGGTTCTTCCACTATGTTTGTAAGACTGACTCCAACCCAAGGCCCTAATTACCTGTTATGATACTTTTTTAAATGAGGAATCCTATTTACCTTACCCGATTTGCCTTTTTCATTTTTTTGCACCAAAATATTAAATCAATAAATAAATACATGTGAATTAAGAAAAATATCCGCACCAAAATCAGTATAAAATAAATAATATCTGCACCAAAATATTATATCAATAAATATATGCCTATTCCTAGTAGCCTAATGTCCACTGTGATGTTATTCAAGCTTTTGAGAAGAACAAGTAACAACAATAAGAAATTACAAAAAGATACAAATGTCATAGATTTCAAAACGCATAGACCTATCTCGATCTCTTTTGTATCTTCAACTCTATCCTCACTAGATACCAAAATCAAACCCTAATCAGTTATGTAGATAGACTCAGGCAATTCAAATTGCGTCCAATAAAATGCAAAAGCAATATTAATGCCATATCAGAAGAAACAGATGAAACCAAAAGTAAAATAAAAGCAACAAAAGAAACACAGATCGTCGAGCCAAAAAAAAAACATAGGTGCACAAGGGATTGAAGAGATAAGAGATGCTGATGTGCTTTGGATTGAGAGGAGAGAGAGGCGGACGTGAACGCGGAGGCGGTGGCGTTGGGCTTTACAGACGTTTGGATGTATTGGGCACTGAACTTCCTGCTTTGCTTCCTATGTAGGTTAATAATTGTCATGGTATTATAAACTATATTTTCTTATATAACCAATCGAGACATGTGATAATAATTTAATAAAATAAGTCATTTAATATACAGATTGAAATTTAGATACATACCTGGATTTGAATATGACGATTTGATCCGTTTTGAGTGGTCTTTATGAATTAGGAATTAGGGTTTTTCCTTTTTGGTGTTGAAATTCCTGAAATTGAAAGAATAACAAAAATTGTCAAAGAATTGAGAAAACAAAAAAAAGAACTAAAGAAAAATTGATGGATGATGATGATTACTTACCAGAAAATAAGAGTTTAAGAAAAATAAGAAGGTATTAAGTTTTTTTGTTTCATTTTGAGTTGAAGAAAAACTTTTTTTTTTAAGGAGAAAGCCTGTTTTTTCTTTTTTTAAAGAACGATAGGAAAGGGAGGAGAAAGCGTTTTGGGGGATATATATTGCTGCTGGTTAGTTAAAGTTTGATAATTCGCTTTTTTCCACGTGTTTCTTTTTTTTTATTAGTATAATTATTTAAATTTTGTTGTTATAATGCAAATATAAAACACCCAAAACCCAAATTTGTAAATATAAAATAAGTACAAAGCCACCTATACACAACAAAAACTTTTCTGTCAATATGTAGCACACTACAATATACAATGTTAATATCATTTAATATAAAGAAAAACAATGTGGGGGGCACCTGTGCGGCGGTGGTGCCACTTGCACCATGGCAGGGCCACCCCGTCAGATCATGGCTTACCCGCGGTGGTTTAATCATATTCAACTAGCCTCTTACTCGCAACAAGCACTGTTACTAGTTTCTGGTGGTGGTGAGTCTTGGAGCAACTATGGAAATCTAATTGAAGATGTAGGGTTCTTTTGGTGCGGGTGGGTGTCACTGATGTTCTCTTTCAACCTCGACAGGATAAATGGAGCGTTACACTCTCTTGCTCAATTTGGTTTGCAAGAAGGCAGGTCCTTTTACTCATAAGAATCAACACCATTTTGGCTTTTATCTACTCTAGAGTCTGATAGCAGTGAGCAGTAGTTACTTGTATCTAGGGTAGGGGTGTGTGGTACTCTTTTTCCTTGGCCAGATTTTTCCCAAGGAAGCTAGGGACTCTTAGGTATAGAGGTTCGTGATACCATAAAGAGTTTTTCACATAAAAGGAAAGAACAAGAAAACTTGTCTATTTCTCATCCGGTATATTAGGGTTTCTGAATTTACATTCATCTTGTATAACCTTTACAAAAGAATAGCATATGTATATATAACCTACATAAGAATAATCTAGAATAAAGAATATGCCTATATTCCTACTTCATCCATATCCAATACATGCTGGCTTTGTCCTGGATGAGTCTTGGGTGTCTTGAGTGATTCTTTGGTTGTGTGACTGTCCTTTTTCTTTGCTGCAGCCTTGGGTGTCTTTGAGTGTACGTATTTTCTCCTCTATTAAAATGATGGACAATCTCATTACCTTTTGCATCCCCTCACAGCATGTGGGTGCTTCCTAGTTCCCAAGCAAACATATATATTGTGGCTAGGTTTTTCTTTTGACTTCCATTGGGCTGCATGATTGTATCCGGCGAATCAAAATTTGCTGCATGACTAGTGTCCTTGATTCTCTCTAATTTTGATTTGGGGCCTAAGTGCCTGGAAGCATAAACAAAGTTATATATAACAAGTTAGAAACCTTAAGCAGAGAATGCTTTTCAAGAGAGAGAAAATTGAGAATATACTCAAGTTACCTGAGTCAGAATAGGAAGGTTTGAATCTGCTCTTTTGGCCACCAAGTGTTCAAGGAACCCACTTGAAAGCTTCATACTTATACACAGATCGATTCACTAACAGCCGTAGATCATGTGGACTTTTTGGTAAAAGAATCTCCAAAGCATCTGAATTCACACTCAACAGCTCATCCTTCTGTTCATCAGTCCAAACTACCCCACTACTCCACCATCTCTGGATACATCTAAGCCATCCGATACACCACTAACCCGCCATAGCTAAGATCATAAACCGAAAACCAAAACCAGACAGGTTTATTGAACCGCCTGTGGTTGGCTAGTGCATGGTGGTTTGGTCATCAATGTCAATGAGATAGGCCACATAGCCTGAAGTATAGTGCTACAAGAGTATCTGGAATTCTGAAGAACATTAAATCCCTGTCTGTCTTGAACAAAACTGATATGAGGCAGTGGAAAATTGTTGATATGGCTGAGAGGTAGTAGGAGAAGACATTCCAAAACTTTTGGTAACCCATGGAATTGATTTTTATTGTTGATGGTCTTGCTGTACTTTTTTCCTTGGTTTCTAATGCAATATTGTTTATTGAGTGTCTTCATAAACTAAGCTAATAATTTACACAAACTTACTAGAAGACCAACCAACGTGTATTAGATTTGAAAAAACCGAAATTGTTGACATGTGAGTCGAAATCAGTGTAGAGATCTCGTATTCTTCTTTTTTAAGAAACCCTTGTTTATTTACCAAAAGAAAACCAATTCAAAAGCATGCTTATATAAGTATTTTTGGGTTGAAAATGTGACATAGTTTGAAATCGACTAGAGAATGGAAAAACTTTTGTTTGACGTTTACGCTACCAAAATTTCGAGGTGGAATGGAGTGCAAATTCAGTGCAATAAGATATATCCAATATCTGAAATTGACATGATATATTACAAATCATTCAAGTCAATTACAACTCACGTACTTGAAGAATGAATTAAAGAATCATGCTAGCAACAGTGGCCACACGCGCAAATGACTTCCAGCTATTAAGAAGCCTATCAAGTTACAACAGTGTACACAAACAGCAATTTCTTGATAAACAAAAGTTTCATCAAGATTCAAGGCATGCCTGCTTGCAAAAGCTAGACCATCTCACAGCTGTAGCTGCATAAATTAATCAAAGATGACCCATAAGCAAGCATAACCCTGTTTCTGTGTTTGGGTTTCTCTTCATTCGAACTTCACCAATAACATGAAAATATCCTGCTTATATATACATTTTTGCTCCATCTGTGGCCAACAGCAGTCTCTGTTTAACCCAAAACCATACATCATTCAATATATTTGATAATGCAAGTCTGCCACACTAAGAATAACCCAAAACAAATGAAGTTATCAGAGCATTCAGGGAAATGGGTGAATCCATATTTACTGCATGACCTGTGTCCTTGATTATCTCCACCTTTGATTTTGGCCCCAACTGCCTGTAGATTGAAAAGAGAACATTAACAATAGGTTCAGATTGGTTTCAAATCCTGATTAAATTTGATCATGAAGATGAAATAATAAATTAGTTTAAAGTCACCTTTGCAGCTGATAGGCCAAGTACACAGGGAAGACATCATCCTTGTCTCCCCAGATTATCAGTGTTTCCTTCACACAAAAATAACATTCATTTACAAGACTGAAGAGAAAGATTAATTAGGCTAAGTTTTTAAATTACGGCTAAGTTAACTACCTGAGTTAGAATGGGAAGGTCTATATCTGCTTTTTTCCTCAGCAAGTGCTCTGCCAGCTCTAATTTCTCCTTCCTGTGTTGTTTATAGGTCACCTGCATATGCAGCATGCAAACCTCTATACAATTTAGGAATTGATATCTTACAAATCCAATGCTATTAGAATTAGTGTGAGGTATAAATGTTCACCGACCACACATCAATTATTACGTTATTGACAATTTGACAATATAACATACTATTATGCCATGATGGATACCAATACCACTGAAGAATAAATAACTATAATCTACCATGTAAGGTGGGGTGTTCTAAAAATGGAGGAATTTTATACTCACATTGATGAACCCATGAAGGAAAATATCAGGGACCCACTTAGAAGGGCCAGGTTTATGCATCGTCAAATTCACCAAGAGCCTCAGATCATGAGCACTTTCAGGTACAAGGAGATTCAATGCATTGCTTCCAACCTTATTGATCTGCTCTCTTTTCTGCTCCTCTGTCATCCCAACCCCACAACTCACAACCACAACTTTCTCCACCAACTCTGGATACATCTCAGCCATCCAATATGCCACATACCCTCCATAACTTATAGAGTAAACAGCAAATCTCTCCACCCCTAATCTCTTCAACCCTTCTGCCACACATTTTGCTTGGAAAACCTCTGTCCTTTCTGGCCTGTTGGTGTAGGATTTGCCAAAGAACAATAGATCAGGTATGTACAGATTGAAACTTTGAGAAAGTGAACCCACTTGATGGATGAATTGCCACTTTGAATTGCCACCATACCCATGAAGCATTACAAGAGCAGGCTTATTGGACCTCCTAGAATTTGCAACCCAAAAGTTCATTGTGGTTTGGTCATCTAATTCAACTGTGCAGGGACAAAGACCACATGATCTCAAGTATAGAGATAAAAGTGCATCTGAAAGTGTGATTAGGAGTGTGATTGGATTTAAAAAAGGTAAAATGGAAATCAAGAATTGAGAAATGGCTATGATGGTTGCAAGGTAGAAGGAGAGGACATTATACAATTTTGGGTAGGCCATGGCCATATATGAGTGCTCTCTGTGTGATTGCTTTTCCTTTTTGGCTACTTACATTGGCTCATTGTGCTATGCTTCACGCATTCACCATACAAGACTTAAAAAGAGAGTGAAAGACACCCCCATTTGTGAGGTAGAGGACAATTGTATAACCCACTTGCATGTTCTTTATTTGGATGATGAAACCAATCTTGCCAACCCTAAAATGACAAAAAGGAAACAATGAGATTGCTCTGTAATTGTAAAGATATTAGGCTGGAGAGCGCGTTGCATGAGTGAATTAAGTACATTCCTGCAAAAGTGACAAAGGTTGTTAGAGAGTACGAATAGAGTTTTCTTATTGAATTTTTCTGTTCTCTTTTTTTAGACTCTCTCTTTAGATTTTTTTTAAGAGATGTGTCGTTAACTGAAGATACCTCAACTAAGCTAATCACTTTTTTCTACATAGTGACGCAAAAGTTGGCACTTCTCACACTAATTAAAAGGCATGTGTGACATCTTGTAATAAATTTTTTTTAAAAAAAAGCATGTGTGACATCTGGGCCCAAAAGAGTTGAGCCATTAAAGAATAGCACAACCAATAAGGTGCAGTGGGAATCTACAGGATCAGGGCATGGGAAAGCATCACTTTGTCTTCAAGATGGGCACTGACTTCTAAAAATATATAATTCACAATCAGAAATTGACATTATTGTCATAGATTTTAAAGAACTATATATGCATATTAAAAAAATGCCTTTAAAATGTAGTGCACACAAGGCAACAAAATAAGATGCCAACTAGAAATATGCAAGTAGATGGCAAAACATCATAACAAACATGGAGGATTAAATTAGGCAAGATCTTTGGGATAAGCCCAATTCATTATCTATACTTAGATTCAAATCTAAACAAAGTTAAAGTCGACACATGAGGCTCTATCTTTTAACTATTGTTAATTCAACAGCTAATTAATTTGATTCAACATTCTACAACTCGAGTAAGGTATTGCACATTTCAAAAACCCAAAATAGAAAAAAGGTCCAATGGCCAAAGCATTCAAGACCCTTTTCTGTTTAGAATAACCCCTTTTCTGTTCAAAATAGCCCATTTACAAGAAAATTCTTGCAGATGGGGCTACCTCAGCTGATATTGTATTCTATTTTTGCTCATTGATACTTTACCTTTGCTTTGCCTGTGGAAGATAAATCTAGATGTTAAGAAGAACAGCTCGTTTCCCAAAATAATGAACCACAGCTAGCATTTGCTTATTGTCATGTATGAACACACACTAAAAAAACACATCAAAAATACCTTACTTCCAAAGCTTCCAATCTTCTTTAACCTTTACCATCACTTTTAAACCCATCCCACCATTATTTTCATAATTTAGTCTCCTCATCTTTCTCCTTTTTGCACTTTTTGGACGGCTGTCTATCACTTTTGTCATCCAAATACAATCATTCCAACCTAGATTCCTTAACCATGTCCTCCTTCTTGCTCTCTGTATTTATAAATCCCCAACCACATCTGTGTTTATATATAACTCATCATCAAGTTGGTTTTTCTCCAAGAAAAAGAAAAACCAAGCTTGAGTTTTTACTATTGAGCCCACCAATGGCTGCTACTAGCTATGCATACACAAGCCATAGCTCATCTCAAAGATCAACAGCCATGGTGCTGGCTCTAGTATCTGCAATTGTACTTTCACCATTATATGTGACAACCAGAAAAACTGATGCAAGATATTATGAGACAAAATGGAGCTCTGGGTTTGTCCTTCCCATGGTTCTTGCTGGACTTATCATTGCCATTAAAACCACTTCTTCATCATCAAGTTCATCATCTTCATCATCTCAAGGAGATTCTTTTGTTCCTTCTCCTGAACCTTCATGGGTGCTAAGAATTGGGAGCTCAAGCTGGGGGCTTGCTGGGGTTTTAGTACTGCTGATGCTTGTGCTTTCATGGCAAGGTTCTGTTCATGAATTCTTGTGGAGATAGAAATTAAGTCCAATTCTATTTTCACTTTAATGGATTGTACTGGAAAGTTATATTATATCAAATAATGCAAGTGGTACTAGTTAATGGAGATTTTTCTGCTTCATTCAAAATGTGGGTATTGCAATTCTCTGTGAAAAAAGTGCACAAACTGAATAATTAGCTGCAGTTATACTTCTAATACTTTTAGCTCAATAAACTTGTAGCTCAACGATGTCTTCAATTTTCCTTCTCCAATGCGAGAAATTTTTATATGTTCCGGGTACACTATTTACTCGGTATACGCTCCAATACCGCTTTTGAAATCATTTTTATATATAATTAAAAAAATTATTAATAAAACCCAAAACCATACAAAGTTCAAATTGTTTGAAACTGTAAAACTAAATTAAAATACGAGGGTATATTCCACCGCCCCAAAACAAAAATAAATTATAAAATATTTATATATAAAAATTGAAGTTGGGCCTCATTCGTACTTTGAATGGAGGAAATGCTAAGCCCAATAAGCATTAATACTCTTCCATTGTCCCCAGTTACCCAAACTCTCTCTCTCTCTCTCTCTCCATAACCTCTTTCTTCTCCCGCGTACCCATCAGCAAAGCCCTAGTTTCAGTTTTATTCACTCATCACTGTGTCTCAAGCAAATCTCAAGTCACAGAAGCCTCGCTATCTCTAATTTGACGGCCATACAAAATCAGGTGAGCTACCTACTTTCGTTCCCTGCTGATTGTGCCTCTCTCTCCATTTTGAAATCCTTTGATTATGGTAAATTTTATTTTGGATTTAGTACTTAGGACTTCCACTGAAGAAATTTGACATAAAATCCAGTACACCAATAGATAAATTCTGTTTTTTTACTGAGCAGAATGGTTTTTGTGTTCTGGAAATAATCATAAGATATAGGTTTGAAAACTTTCTCTTGTTCGATGGACACAATTGTAATATAAAATTCAACCTTTGCAAATTTGTGGAGGTACTGATGTGAAAATTTCCAATAAGCAGGGTAGATTGATTTGCGCCGTGAACCAAAATTTGGTGCTTTTTTTTAATGGAACCCTTTTTGTACAAAATTGACTCTGGTTGTGTTTCCTTTTCATTTTTGGTTCTACAATTTTTAACTTGCAGTGGTAGCAGCCTCTTTCATTGTTCTATTTTCTGTTCACTGCTTATTTGCCTCAAAGTTTTATATATTCATCAATTACTGCCTCAAATTTGTGCTAGTTTGCTGTTCTAATTGTGTTATTTTGCTCCTCGAAATATGTATTTCTGATACTGCTCTATGTCCAGGCTATTCTTGCTACAGTTTCTATTGTCCTTGGAGTAACAGAGCTGTGTAGCTTGCTGATTGTCCAGATTGTTGAAAGAAAAAGAAGTGAAGTAGTTTGGAGGTTTAGCCCATCCCAACTGCTCTGGCCCTGCCTAGCAGAAGTACCCGGAACCAGAAAAATGGCAGGGGAAGATGAGGACTTGCCCAGAGATGCGAAGATTGTGAAAACGCTGTTAAAATCAATGGGTGTGGAGGAATATGAGCCTCGTGTTATTCACCAATTCTTGGAGCTGTGGTATCGATATGTGGTCGATGTGCTCACTGATGCACAGGTCTACTCAGAACATGCTGGTAAGCCTGCAATTGATTGTGACGATGTCAAGCTTGCTATACAGTCCAAGGTTAATTTCAGCTTCTCACAGCCCCCTCCAAGAGAGGTAATATATTTCACTCCCTTTCATTTCTTCTGATAAATTTGAGTTCATGTAACAAAATTGTATTACACTACGAATCAAAAAATGTACCCTTTTCATTATAAATCAATCAGCTTATGTGTATTATTCGGCCATTATCAGGTGCTACTGGAGTTGGCTAGAAACAGGAACAAAATCCCATTACCAAAATCAATTGCAGGGCCTGGTGTGGCATTGCCACCTGAACAGGACACATTGATCAGCCCAAACTATCAACTGGCAATCCCAAAGAAACAATCTGCTCAAGCAGTGGAAGAAATGGAGGAAGATGAAGAACCTGCTGAACCCAATCCGCCCCAGGAACAGAAGCCCTCTGATCTGCCTCAGGGTACTCCCCAAAGGGTATCCTTTCCCCTTGCTAAACGCACCAAGTGAGAGATTACATGGTACATCAATCAGCCTGAGGGATTGTAGTCCAGAGATGTGAGATGAGACAGTTGTTCACTTACTAGAGATTCTGACTCGTATTCGATCTGTATACATGTAAAAGAATGTTCTGTTTAAATATTATGTTTACTTCTGCAGTCAATCCTTCACAATTATTTGAATGCGTACGCCTTATGGTCATTCATAGTTTTTTGAATGATTAATTGATTATGCGAAGAGAGCATGAAGCTTTTGTTTTTCCCCCTTTGCTACAAATCAGGCTCAAGAAAACATACAATGATGATCTTCATCATGAAAGATTTTGTACGTTTTCTCCATCAGTTTCTAATACCAATAAGCTAATATGGTGAGAGATGTGAAAATTTGCCTTAACAAGATAAAACCAAAAGGACGTAAAAAGCACGTTGCCAAGTTTCAGTCGTCCGACAATATACAGCAACTTTTTAGAAGCATGCATTAAACATAATGTAACCAATCAGATTGGAAAGCAGTGTCATGAAAGATATATTGCATTCAATCTGAGAACTTTCAAGATAAACCGTTTTAACAACTTGTTGAATTCGGTTAGTCATCAAATAACAGAACCATGTAACCGTTCTTTACAACTGCTTTTTTGATTTATATATACAAGAATGACTTAAGTGTCACTAGATAACCATAAATGAGAGACAATCGAGCAGGGGTCAACTTCTCCAACCCACCATACTACTAGCAGCAGGACCTGTACTTGATACACTCATGCCCCGGTCGTACATGCGCTGAATCTCTTCCCTGTACTCTGTCAAAGACTTATCAGGAATTGCTGGAGTCAGCTCCACCACATCCCCCATCTGCAGCTTGCATGTAGGATCACTCACTGCCGCATGGTTCAGCCTAGGCCTCAGTTCTTCCTTCAGCGGGAACCCGTATGGTGTCCATCTCAAGCTTCCTCGCCCAGTTCTTTCCAGCAGATCCATAATCGTGGAGTTTGTAGGAAACTCTTGAACAGACATCTGCATAATTAGAACAAACACGGTCAGATGCATGGTTAATAAGTACTTGTTATACATTTATCAAAAAATATTTCCGTACACTTATTTGAGTGTAAGCCAAGTACTTTAAAATGAAAATAAATAAATATATGTATATATATTCAAATTTGAGAAACAAACTCCCTACACAAAAACTACTTTACATCAAGACTTTTATGCCTTTCCATTATAAAAGGCAAGCAATTAAAACACACACCATATTACTTTTGCCTCTTAGTCTCTTCTTTGCCTACTATATGGACATTAAACAATATGTCATATAGCTATCACCACTTAAGACAACATGCATAGTAAGTGAATGCATTTGCAAAACCAAAAGAATTACAGAACATCAGTTCAAGACTACTAAACCATAGAAAAACTTCAAGGCCATTGACTTGGTGGGACTTAAAGCTTGAAACCAACTAGAAACCAATTAAACAAGTTCAAAATATATGAAATTATAAACATATACAGAAGGTTTTCTAAAACAAACCTTATCATTCTCCATCATGATGACAAACACCGGCCCATCTTGACCACAGTGAGGTTTGTAAGAATATGGACAGTCATCAGAATGTGAAGGAAACGCGCAGGGTGGCTTGATTGAATCAGCATACCCAATGGATGACCGGTCTCTGCTCATTGCCTCACACTGCCAAGTGACCACCCATCTGGCCCACTCGACCATCTGAAGCACAAATGAGGGGTGCTTACAGTCACCTTCCTTGTATCTCCAGTGAGCTGCAAATCCAAACTCAGCTTGCAAATGCATCTCCTTTGTTCGAATTTGCACTTCCAGCGGAATCATGCCTTCACCCATCACCACAGTGTGCAGTGACTGATACCTATATTTTTAACTGAATATTAGGAGGAGAATAGCGTAACAAAAAAAAATGAACACTAGAACTTTTTGATGTATGGCATACCCATTAAACTTGGGTTGAGTTATGTAGTCCTTGAACTTTCCTGGCACCTCAGACCACAGCTGGTGAACAACTTTCAGTGCTTCGTAGCAATCTTCCTCGTTATCAACAATCAAACGTAGCCCGTGAATATCATGAATTTCATCCATGTTTAGCTTCTTTCTGCACAAAATAAGCCATCACATAATCGTGTTAATTTCTGTTCAAGCATGGAAAATAATGCGCTAAAGCATATGGATGTCAAACCATGCACCTATATTGTGATGCATTAAAATCCGAAACTATGTTCATCACTAAACTTATGATTAACTTTTATGCTGCAATAGAGAGAGAAAGAGAACATACTTTAACATTTTGCAGTAGATGCTATACAAGCTCTTATGCCGCCCACAAAGTACATGGTAGGAAATGGCTTTATCCTTGAGAGCTCGCTCTAATCTCTCTGTGGCAGAAGTAATCATTGCATCATCAAACGAATCTAGAAGCTTAGAGGACAGTTCTTTGTGCTGATCTGGGTTGAGATGCTTAAAACATAAATTTTCCAGCTGCACCTTCCAGCTAGAGATTCCTAACCGGTTGGCCAAGGGTACAAAAATCTCCAAAGTCTCCTTCGCAAACCTCTGTTGCTTAGCCAAGGGTAATGCATCTAGTGTCATCATATTATGTAATCGATCTGCCAATTTAATGAGGACAGCTCTGGCATCTGCCATGGCAAGGAACATGGTATGCAGGCGATCTGCCTCAACTGTTTTGCTCGCTGTATTATTATCACGGGCAAGCTTGCTCAGATGACTTAGCTTAGACACCTAAGTAAATGCCATAAAGAACTTGATTAGAAACTAGCAAACGTCAATCTTATATTCATATATTACAGAATATATAATTTATATAACAGATCATAGTTATATCAGCATATCAATACTTCTGGATCTTTTTTTTCCAGAACCAATGTGACAACCTTGAAAAAAGAATTAACAAATAACAAAATTCATAATAGCCCGTTAGAAAATTAAATATGGGACTGCAAACAAAGCATGACTACTCCATAAAAACAAACACAATAACAAACCATTTTAAAATAGGATCCTACACTACGTTTCACTTTTGTGTAACACATCAAATAATAGATCAAGGGAAGAACTGTGTGTTCGTCCACGCATCCAGACCCACAGAAAGGAAAAAATTAATAAATGCATCATTCATTCTTTCAGTCAGAATACTGCAAAATTAAATGTCCTATCATAACTTTATGGATAGAGTATCATTATGTAAGTCTGAATAGCTACTTTTTTCTATTAAGTTACAATTAGACCACGTAACATGATTTTTAACTTCACAGAGTTGCACCGTTTATGCAAGACGATCATGTAAACTGCAATAACATGAGCCCATTTATGGAATAAATTGATAGCATAACCAAATGCCTTGAAAAAGTACTTCTATAAGTGGATCACAGTTAAATTTCTATTACGTGGCATCTACAAGACCGTCTGTAAAAGGTCCAATTTGTGAATTTCGAAGAGCAATCCATAAAACAAGAGCTGGTAGATACCATGTAACACTCAACGTGTTCAACATAAGAAACAATCAATAACTACTTAGCACGCACACACAAAATTAACACATCTTTAATTACTCAAATTCAGTAACACAATAGATTTCTGAGAATCCTTAAATTCTTACCCCTTCCACTAAATCAGCAACCCCAGCTCCAAATTTCCCAAATATATAGTCATAACACAAAAAAGAATCATCAAGCGTGTCATGCAAAAGCCCTGCAGCAACAACCGTCGAATTAGCACCAATTAATGCGAGCAGCACCGCAGTCTCCACACAATGCTGCAAATACGGATCGCCACTTGCCCGCATCTACAATAAAACAACAAAATACAACACGAAACTTCTCAACCCAATTCACCAAAATCCCAAAGGCAAAAAAGTATGCATAAAATTCAGACCCAAAAATTACCTGCCCTCTATGAGCTTTCTCGGCCTCGCAAAAAGCCTTGATAATAAAATCTTCATAGAAAATCTTGTGGCGCAGTTGCGCACCCAAAAGCAATTCTTTGGCATAAGGCTCAGAAATGCCCTCCAAGAACCCATCTTCCATATTGAAAGTCAAATCATCAAGAACCACAGCTGACGAACCCACATCCAAAGCATCAGTACGAGCCTCAAAACTCGGCGAGTCGTAATCTATGCACGAAGAGCCCAAAGCACCTCTCACGAACCCATTAAACAACCCATTACTCCCACACCGGATTGAATTCAAACTAATATCTCCATTGTTAGACCTCTCCCGTGTAATTCTCATTGGTGGGCTTCTCGCCGAGCTCGAAACCCCACTACTGGAAGATGAAACTGGGCCCTGAAACACCGAAATGGGGCTCTGGTCCCGGTTCAACGAAGCCCCATTGAACTTGCTCGGAGAATATCGAAACGAGCTACTCAATTCCTTCAATTCTTCGCCCCTATCGTGCCATAGAGAGCCCAATTCCTCTCCTCCACCCGAATAGCTCGACGAGGACGACGCATGCTTCACCGTCGGCGATGAGAACAGGCACGAGAGCCCACCAGTCACCGGCTTTTGCGACGTGGAGGCCGTCGAAGCCGTCGACGACGCAGATCGAGAGCTCAATTCGAAATCGTATGAGGTATGCGCATTGATCTGGCACGGGTGGGTCGTCGAGCACACACTGCTCGGCGGGCTTGCGTACAGGGCTATTGTTGGCACCGTCATGGCTTCTGTTTGCGACGATTTTGAACCTCAGATCACAAACCCAAAAGAGCACAGCACAAATCGAGACAACCCAGAAAAGCTTTCGCTCCAAATTGAATTCCACCTGAGACCCACTAATTTTCTTCGCAAAAGCCACTTACTTTCCCACAAACCAAACAGCTTCAGACACCTGATTAGGTTTCTCAGAGACCCATTTAGTTAATTTTTGAGGTACCCAATGGGTAAAGTTTATTGAGACCCCAATAAAAATAATTATTCTATATCTAAAACAATGAAAGATTGTCCAAAATGAAAAGTATAATGGAACGAAATTGAGCTACAGTATGTACAAATTTATAGAAATTGAGCTCAATAGGAAAAACTCTACACCTAAATTTCGAGGAAAGTGAGTCAAAGACGGCTTGAAACGCAGAGCCAGCGAGAGCGAAAGAGAGAGAAGAGAAGGTGGAAGAAGGAGAAAGCTTCTTTCTTCGTCTTTGATTTTTTCGGTGAGAATCTCTCTCCTCTCTCTCTCTCTCTCTCTGTGTTTTGAGTTATATTGATTATCGACCAGGGAAATCTAAGGTGAAATTACATAACTGTCCTCCCAGTTTTATTCCATATATAATTAATTACCGTATTTGGGACATAGACAACAAGGATGATCTGATTATCCTTAATGACCTGGAATTTAGGGTTTTAATCTAATTATAGATTTTCCTATTGGTCACATCAAAAGCAAATAAGGGTTGATGCAGTAAACATGTACCTGGCTGTGTTTCTGTCCTTAATTAGGAAAACCAAATGAAAACTAACCAAAATTAGAAACATAGAATATTCTTTTGGATAGTAAGGAAAAATTTGTAACCCACCTCAAAGATCTTTGCAAATAAAATTCTAAAGTAAATTCCACGTACGCAGTCACTACAAATCACGAATAAGTTCTGATATCGGAATTATTTGAGTTAATATAAAATGATTTTTTGTTTGTGTTTAAAATACAAATTTCATTCCCATTATCCTAATCCAAAACATTAAAGAAGCAATTTGGATAATTCACCTTTGGTTTGGTCAGGGGAATAATGAGCATGCATTAAGCAATGAATATAATAATTAATCTTGAAGGGGAAGTTTGTAGAACTGTTCCTCCATCTATTATTTTATATCGTGTGATTATCCACTTGATTAATTTTATATTAGTTGAAGTTGAAAATGGTAACAGAATATAGGAACTTGATGTGGCATTGTTTAAGACTAACGACAGAATCAATCATCAATCTCCCAATGGTGTGCCCATATGGTGCCCCCAAAATGCAATCAAACTTTTTGTGTAAAGCTAAATTACGTTGGATTCCACTAATTGTAGGAAAATAAAATGATCGCCAACAAGAACATGTGATAAGACGCACAAGATGATTATAAGCACTTAAGAATGATCAATATCATTGCTTATTAGGTGCAATTTTAGGTATGTTAGATCAAAGACATGCCAAAACCTAAACATGTTGTGTAAAATGCTATATCTTTTTTCTTCTTCTATATATATTTTTTTTTGTGATAAAAAAAATACACTCCAGGGAAAGAGGGTGGTGTCCATCAAGGAGCTGTGAAAGGGTGCCCCTCCCCCACGTAAGCCAAACGGAAGGGCCAACTTAAGTTGAATCTCCGGGCCACCCTCATGATGTCACGCACTTACACGTTTTTCATCTCCAGGGAATCGGCCTACCAACCCCAACCTATTGGTGGGAATCAAACTTAAAACTTCTTGGTGAGCAGCAAGAGCGGAATTAAAATTGTAAGGGGGGGGGGGGGGGGGGGGGGGGGGGGGGGGGGGGGGGGGGGGGGGGGCAGGGCTATAGGCCCTAGGAGTGGCTCCGCCACTGGTAGCAACTCGACCCCAATTTCACCCCAACGTTTGATGGTCGGTGGTGTAACATGCTATCTCAAATACATACATTAGTACAATATTGAACATGCACAATGCATTGCTTGATTTTTATTTTTATTTTCTCGCACGAGCATAAATCCTTTCTTACTTCGCATCATGGACCAATTTCTGATGTTGGATACAACATAGAGAAAATAAGACAATCTACAACAGCATGAATTGATTCCACAACTTGTGCAATGTTTGTAAAACTTCAAAGTTGCCAACCCAACCAACCCCTTGGTATTGTACATTGCTTGAATTGCAATTGTGGCATGCCATGTCAACTATTGGAAAATTAAGCCTAGGCAATAATGCCGAACATGCCCTATAAATCATGATCTATTAAAATAATCCCAGATGTCGGGTTGGGTTTCTAAAATTTATATGACAATTGTAAATAATTCACCTAAACTCAAATCCAGACAAAAATCACAAGGGTACTATTGACAATTCATCGTGAGGAGTGAGAGATAACTCTCAACCTCCCTCCGGAAGCGCCAGAGCATTATAGTACGATAAGAACCCACGTCACCACCAAATACTTATTTCATTTATTATTTATTTCCAATCTTTGATGTATTTTTCTGTTAGATTCAGTTTAGTCCCGTGGTGGGCGTGAAGCCGCACGGCACGTGGCACTGTCACACGCACCAAACACCGCCACATGGTCAGCGCATTGGACTTACACCTGTTCGGCGATGACGGCTATTAGGTTAGCCTTCATCTGGACACGGTCGGAGTCGGTCAGGTCACTCTCTAAACGCGTGCTGGAGGCCGAGTCAGCTCCGAAATTGAAGGACTGTCTTTTACTTCGTCCGACAAATCCGGCGGTCAGTAGAAGCTGTGAGACTGTTACAATCTGTGGAATACACACTGGGGCTGTCGGTGACAAAAAAAGCTTCTCAAAGTCAAAAGTCAAAATAAGTGCTCTTCTTCATGATCAAAAATTTCTTGCGGTTTTCGTTTTTTTCATGTTTATTTCTCGCGGGTAGCTGGGTTGATTGGTAGCTAGCAGCCAACTCGAATATTGTTTTGAAGGCTAATTTGGATCGTATTGCTATTGACTTAGGCTCATTTGGGAATTGGGAGTGATTTTTTAGAAACTACTTATGCTCATAAGTATTTCTAATAAAAGCATTTTTATTATAAAAATCTTTGAATTTTTATAAATAAAAAAAATTAAAGTGCTTCCTGAAGAAGCACATAGCAATGTTTCCTATAAACACTTCTAAACTTTTCTGACAATCATAAGCGCTTTTAGTTATTAGAAAATGTTTTTAGCCTTTTTAGAAGCACTCCCAAACATTCCTTTATTAATCTTATAAAAGGTTAGTTGATTATATATCAACCTATTTCTAAATCTCGTGTATAATTAACAACTAAAATAGAGTGCTGCTAAATGAACCCTAAAAATTGAGTATACTCTACTACCAAACTATTTATTAAATTACTAATTTATCCTAATATAAAATGACAAAAAAGAATTAAAGTGTACTCAATTCATTTTAAGATTCATTTACCTTGTTTTTTTTTCCTTGACGTCCTCTGCCTAATGGTTTCCTGCAAGTTAAAGATATAATTAGAAAGAAAAGATGCTTGTTGTTCAAAATTGATAGGATTATATCCATCCTCAACCAAGCCTCAAATAATTAATTGTGGAAATTTAAAAATGGTTGGTTTTTGACAAGTCAAAAGGAGATTTTTTGTTGCCTCCTCTGCTTGATCTACATAGTGCTGTAAATTCATACATCAATTCGCTACATGAGTCCATCAATGGCGAGGCCCTACTGTCAACAACTGAACACAAAATGCATTTTGGAGTACAAGTTTCCATCTTGGACGAAAATCAACCCAATTTTTTACATTGTTACTGCCTTAGCTAAAAGAAATTTGAGATTTTTTGCACAAAATTTTGGCCGATTTGAATTCATTTCTTTAAATTTCAAAAGAGAACTATCAAAAGAAAAAAAATTAGGTTATGGGTACTTACTGTTGGTTGTTGCAGATTGTCAAAGACATAGAAAGTGACAACATTGTTTCGGTGATACTAATTTACCCTAATATAAATTGACCAAAATATTAGGATGTAGCAGGGGTATTTTTGATAGTTAATTATGGTGTACTTAGTTAATTTTACATTTTGATTTAAATATTATAGTGTACTTAGATTATAAGATGTACTCAATTAACTTTAGGGTTTGTTTAGCAACACTCCTAAAATAGTGGAAGATCTCGATGTCTTAGGTTTGATTTCCTTGTATTTGAGATTCTAGGTTTGATTCCCTCATACTCAATATCGTTTGTATGACCCCAAAAACAAGTACAAGACCTCGAATTCAAGATTAATTGTTTTTAATCACTTGAGCTACAATTCTTCTTTTTTTCAGTTGTTAGTATTTGGTTGGATGAATTGATATTTCAGTAAAATAAAACTAAAAAAAAGTTCAATTGTTTTCTGTGTAGTTGCAAGTTTTATACATATTTTTCTCTCATTCCTTTATATTTTTCCCATGTACCTCTCTTTAGTCAAGAAAAGAAAACAATTGAAATCCAAAAACAAAAACATTACGTTATTTGAATGATTGGTTCTCGTGGTAATAATTAATTGGAAAAAATGAAAAGGACAATTTTGCCATAAAAAAAAAGAAATTAAAAACTGAGTTTGCATAATGACAGGTTGAGTGAAAGCTTATTGTTCTTGCGTATGAAACTGTTGACAAAACGTACAAGCCAAGAGTTGCATGTGTTCGGGTGCGGCTTATTTTTCTATTTTTCACTTTCCATGCACGCTACGGTATCAATAATTTGATAGAGACAAGTGCAGTGTGCACCCAACTTAGGGTTTCAATTCCCACATGCTCTTTTTTTTTAATGGTTTTATTAGGAATTACAAATAAGAAAATTTAGATGCTATATATTTCTGAGTTTTCTTTGGATTTTATTATTATATTTCTTTGACATTAGGGCTCATATATAATATATTGGCTTAAAATAGATCCCAGGGTCAGGGTGCATGTACATATATACATATATATATATATGTATATCAAATAATTTTTCATGAGTCCAAAACAGTCTTAATCAGCACCAC